GGTTTATATACATACATATGTACAAGTGGTTCATCACTGAGTAATACTCGTTCATTGGCAAAATAAAAAATGCACATTTTCTGATTTCAAAACATTGATTTGAAGAAAAATGTGATGCTAAACCTCTCCTAGACCATTATCATGTTGCGGCCATCTTGATTTGTCCCCATTCAAATCAACGTAACCAAAGCGAGGCTGGAAGGAAAAGTGGGCTGGTTCCTTTTTGCACAAAAATATTATCATTCAGTACTGTTATTGGATACAGGGAACATGACTGAAATGGTGGCAACAATGATAAAGGTCTCTTGCATAGATGAAAAATATTAAGGCATGAAGATAAAACAGTTCACAATGTAGGTCATTTTGTATATATAATTACTCTCTCATTGCATAGATGGAAAATATAAAGGCATGGAGATAAACAATTTCTAGGTCATATAAAGAGGAACATCAAAAAGGATTTCAGATGGTGCAAGTTTGTTATTGTTACATGCAATAATGATTCGATTGTTTTCATCAAAAGTCAGGTTAATCACAAGTCTGACATCAATTCAAATAAAGTTATCCATGTAAATTGTGACTGCAAATAAAAAGCACTCCTTTTTTTGTTGTTCATCCTACTGATTCTTCTGATGGACTTGTGACTGAATATATGATTATCTGACATACATGTACAGATCCTTGTCATTTGATTGGTGGAACTCACATCACGTGACATTCATTATTGCTCCCATTCACGTCGGGGCTCAAAAAGTCCCATTCGCCCATGGGGAGTGGGATTTAACATCATCCTTGTTCCACGGTGCGGTATTTGTGTGCAAATGCATGCTGGTGTGCGCGTTGCACGTAGCGCGTATTGTTCCCAAGAGCCAGCGCTACAGAGTTGGGTTCAAACATTTCGTGAAGGGGTGGTTTGGAAGAGAGCATACATTTCCCACCAATTTTGTATTGAAATATTAGTTCATTTTAACTGTATTTAGATTTAAATAGTTTTAAAGGGAAGATACAACATTTGCAAACATCACAAAACAAAATGATCAAATAATCACGAAAAACCTCACTAGATTGTTAGGGAATGACAGTGTAAAAAGCATCTTGTAAAATTGTGACTCCTGGTGTGCTGTCATTTGGTGGGCCGACCAGCGTTGGAGAAAACTGGCTTTTTTTCAAAAACTGTTCCTAATTTTTCATAATTAGTTATCTCGCGTTTTCTTTGCAATTGTTTACACACCTGTGAAGGGGTACAAGCCTGCTAGACTGATTCTCTGACCTTACAATTTCCCAAAGTCATGATTGCTCCGTTTCATCAAAAGTGGGTCAGGGAACCAGACTACAAGAATACGATTGGTTTTCATGGTTTTCCAAGCATCTACAAGCCCAAAACGTGAAACAAGTCATTTCAACATTATTTGCTATAACATATTAATCCTCCAAATCCATCTTTTTCCAAAAATTGCAGCAAAAGCAAATGTTGTACATTCCCTTTAAAATAAAACCAAGCAGAATCTGCGGGTGAGGTGTTTTAAAACAATTATTAAATGCTTTACCTCGTGGTGTAGTAAATGATTTGAAATCGTTTACAATTTATTTTAAAATCAATCAAATGACAAGGATATACATGTACATGTATATGTCAGTTATATGAAACAAATATTGAGTGGCTTTAAATTGTGAAATGGGAGGAATATTATCGCTCGGTAGAATCTGGCTTTTCCATTTCACGAGGCGAATGAAAAGTCAAGATTTTACCTTGCGATAATATTCCTCCCATTCCACTCTGAGCCACTCAATATTTGTATACTGTACACCACTGGTGGAGTTCAGCTGCAGAAAGCAACAGATCGATGACTTCATCACAGACTCGTTCCAGTGCGTATTTCAAGTCCAGATCGTCAACAGAGGGCAGGCTTTGCAGCAGCCTGCGTTCTGTTTCTCATATATTTGAATGGTCATCATGTGTCCTCCAGTCCTCCCCAAGCCCTTGACCTATACCACGAGGGAGATGCATGGTCTGCTAAATTTCACCCGTAATAACTATTTTCTTTCCCCTGAGAAGTATTACAAATTATGATGAATTTTACAGTTTCCATTAGAAATTTGCTGTTATCTTCTCTGGCCACAAGGCGAGAATGACCGCTCGGGTTGTAAGCAGTAGCAGAGGATGGAAGGTCAAGTTTGCATGTACAGTACAATTCACAAGATAAATAAAAATTCGTGTCATACTGGTACATAAATGTACAAAAAAATGTGAATACTGGCCCTACATGTACATTTAGTTTTAAAACTAGATTAGTACAAAATGTGACACAAAGTACAAGGATGATACACGTGTACATTTATTTTTCTTAACAAAGTCAATTTGGCGGACCAGGAGTGAGGTTTTTCAGGATTGTTCTAATTTCAGGATTTTTTGGTCAGGAATTTTCCTGCTTTCAGGATTTTTTGGTCAGGAATTTTCCTGCTTTCAGCATTTTTTGGTCAGGAATTTTCCTGCTTTCAGCATTTTTGGGTCAGGAATTTGCCCGATTTCGGCATTTTTGGGTCAGGAATTTCCCTGCTTTCAGCATTTTGTGGTCAGGAATTTCCCGAATTCAGGATTATACTACAGAATCCCTGTTGAAAACGATCTTGATCTAATGATCTTTTTCCCATCAACCTACAAATGTTTCCGCCCAGTGCATCTTTAAAGGGAATATACATCATTTGCAAACATCGAAAAATAAAACTACCAAGTTTTTACGAAATACTTTACTAGGATGTTGATAAATGACAGTGGAAAGCATCCTGTAAAATTATGACACCTGGTGTGAAGTCATTTTCAAGAAAATAGTTTTTTTGTATACATTTCCAACAGTGGTCGGCCGACCACCGTTGGAAAAACCTGACTATTTTTCAACTACTGATCCAAATTTACCATATTTTCAGTCCAAATTTTGTTTGCTATTGGTTACATGTTTATGAACGGGTGCAGGTGGGCTAGACTGGTTCCCTTACCATACAATTTTCCGGCATCTATAAATATTGATCTATTTCATCTTGAGTGGAGTCAGGGAACCAGACTGCTTAAACATTTTTGTTTTTCTTGGTTTTTCCAGCATTTTCGAACACGAAACTTCAAACAAGTTAGTGTAACAATATTTGATCTATTATACTAACCCCTCAAATAGATCATTTCTAAAAATTACAGCAAAAGCGAATGATGTACATTCCCTTTAAGCTGTTTTGTCTCAAAAATGAATTAAGACACGACGTCACCCAGAAATAGCTCCAGCATTTACGTGTACGCAGGGCCAGCGTGGGGCACGGTCCTCCCGATTCACCCACGCTTCAGAGCGGGGCGCCCCACGCACTGAAAACAAACAAGCGTGCATTCCCTGCACTCGTCAAACTGAAAATCAGCGCGGGGAAACGGTTTTGGCACGGCTTGCTGGGCGACAGCCTGCAGGCCGTATCAGCTGTCGCATGTCAATGTCTGCTTATGTGCAGTGACAAGCTCCATGCGACATCCAAATGCCCTCTGTTGGTAAAAATTAGAAAGTGTCTCGCAAAAATGTTGAAAATTATACTGTAGATGAATTTCCTAGTAACTAATGCTAAGGCACTGCAGGACATATGAAGACGTTTTCTTTTTTCACTCCTTACCTTAAAAAGTGTAATCGAAAAACGTTGTCAGTTTTATTACTTTATCACAACTAAATTTGTTGCCTTTTAACTCATGTCCAACTCTTCTCCACTCCAAATAGCAGACAGAGAAGTTAACTTTCTCATCCATTTGAATTTACAATATGGAAATGCCCATCGCAGCTACTTCCGTATGGAAGAGACTCCAATATTGTGATAAAAACATGAATAACCGTGCAGAATTTCTTTGAAATATTTTTACATCACAATTTTTTTTCATGATAGTGTGAAATTGAAAGGTAATATACAACATTTGCAAACTTAAAAAAACTACCAAATTATTGTGAATTATCTTACATGACTGTACATGTAAGTGAATAATACTCTCAAGCATCATGTGAAATCATGGCACCTAATAAGGGTGCTCATTTGCAAGCAAAGTGGGAGTTTTGTATCAATTTCCAACAATGTTCGGCCGACCATTGTTGGGAAAAAAACTGACCTTTTTTGCAAATACTGCCCCAATTTAAGTTCACATTTTGTTTGCAATCGGTTACACATTCGTGAACAAGTATATGTAGGTGCAAGCTAGCTAGTCTGATTCCCTCACCTGACGTCTATAAATTCCTCTGTTTCATCTGAAGTAGGGTCAGGTACTCAGAATACAAGAACACCAATTTTGTTTTCTTTGTTTTCCAGCATATAGGAACGCAAAACTTTAAACAGGTCAGTGTGAGAATATTTGCTGTGAAATACTAACCCCCAAACCCATCCATATTTGAAAATTGCATCAAAAGCAAATGTTGTACAAAATATTACCTTTTTTTAGAAGTGAAATGTGTCACTTTGATTTCCTTTCAAAACGACCATGCTTAAAGGGAAGATACAACATTTGCAAACATCAAAACACGAAATGACCAAATTATCAAGAAATATCTTACTTGATTGTTAGGGAATGCAGTCTAAAGCATCCTGTAAAGTTGTGGCTCCCGATGTGCTGACATTTTCAAGAATAACTGTATTTTCCCAACGCTTTAGTTCATCTGCATTTTCTTTGCAATTGATTACACACCTGTGAAGACTACAAGCCTGCTAGACTGATTCTCTGATTGTACAATTTCCCAAAGTCTATAAATTGCTCTGTTTCATCTTAAGTGGGGTCTGGGAACCAGACTACAAAAATATGATTGGTTTTCTTGGTTTTTCCAGCATCTACGAACCCAAAACGTGAAACAAGTCAGTGTAACAATATTTGCTATAACATACTAATCCTCCAAATCCATTTATTTCTGAAAATTGCAGCAAAAGCAAATGTTGTACATTCCCTTTAACAGCATGACAATTAACATACCTTGTTTCACTTTGTTATTGTTACACAGGTGTGCAAAGGTTGGTTGAGTTGGTTGTAGCCCCGCCCCTACCCAATTTACAGTCCCTGGCCATTCATATCACTCAGACTGGCTCTGTGATCGCAGTGGGGATTACGAAGATCAGTAATCAATGGTGGACGCAGGAGATAGAGATGTCAAGTGCTATACAGGTGAGTGAATTGGACTGCCTCACAATAAGCCATTTCGGAGTTACAAAAATGTACTACTGCACGTGCGCTCATCAGATTCAACGATTTAGTGTCGGAAGATAAACAAAGCAGATAAATGCACTCAAGTCTATGGGGGACGTGGTAATCGAATCCACATTTTGCAATTTTGTTCTAGTAAAACAGAAGATAGAAATTTTTGTTCGCACAAAAGTTGGAGCACACGAAACAACGTAAACCATGGTGCCGTTGAAAACAATCAACATTTTGCATCTACTTCAAAATAAGAACTTTTCTTTAATTTCGTTGGTACCCCGCTATGAATTTGCACGCGTGTGGCGAACTGTTTATCCCCCGACCCTAATCGTTGTCATGGGATGTGCGCATGTACAGTAGTACATTTTTGTAACTCCGAAATGGCTTATTACTCTGGCTTCGGCTAGGTAGTGACACAGGTGTCTATGAGAAGTGGATTCAGCCGCTTCCATAGGCGCATGTTATTGCCAGCCGCAGCCATATAATTCAGATTACTTAAGAATCCAGCTTAATTCACCGGAGACATCAGTCAGGCTCAAACATTGGTGTCTGTTCACACAATGGTATTGGTGTAAGATTTCTCAAGCATTAGAACATTTCTCAAGCCTTGTGAGTTCTTGGCATCGCATGAAAGTTCTGTTGGGAGGAAGAAGTTATTTTGATACTGACTCTGTACACAAACAATAGTTGGCACTTTTTGACCGAATTCATACAAATGTGTGTTCACCGTCGATCGTGGACGTCCTATTGTCCCTCTTTTGTTTGTACTTTAACTTTTTAGGAAGACTCCCATAGGTTTTGTTCACGACCCCAATCGCGGACGTATGCTGGAAAACGTGGATGATATTGTTCTCTTTTGTTCTCTGGTATTTTTCGTCCACGGTTTGAAATGTACAACGGGTCTAGTGGGAGGGACATGTGTGCCCGCTCTTAATCATGTTTATATTGGGTGAAGTATGCACAACTTTTTTTATTCTGGAATGTGCACAAGCCAGTAGGATCTGTAGTGTCTTTGTGTGGGTGTTATAGGCATAGTCAGCAGTGCTTTCCCAGCTACAGATAAGGAACTGGATGTTAAAGGGAAACTACAACATTTGCAAACATAGAAAAATAAAACTACCAAGTTTTTATGAGATACACAACAGGATGTTGGTAAATGACAGTCTAAAGCATCCTGTAAAATTATGGTACCTGGTGTGAAGTCACTTTCAAGAAAATGGTAATTTTGTATACATTTCCAACGGTGGTCGGCCGACCACCGTTGGAAAAACCTAACTATTTTTCAACTACTGCTCCAAATGTACCATTTTTTTTTCAGTCCAAATTTTGTTTGCTATTGGTTGCATGTTCTGAATGGGTGCAGGCCAGCTAGACTGGTTCCCTTATCGTACAATTTTCCGGCATCTATAGATTAATCCATTAATCTTCAGTGGAGTCAAGGAACCAGACTACTCGAACATTTTTGTTTTTCTTAGTTTTTCCAGCATTTTCCAACACAAAACTTCACACATGTCAGTGTAACAATAATTTGATATATTATACCGGTACTAACCCCACAAATAGTTCATTTCTGAAAATTAAAGCAAATGCCAATGATGTACATTCCCTTTAATTCATTGTGGTCTCAATTCAAAATTTTGAATGAGAGAGTTTTCCAGTATCCTTTTACACTGAAGAAATGTTCATATGAAGCATGAGACTAGGCTGAAAAAGGTCCCTTTATTTCTTCAATCCTCACTCAAATTGAATTGAATTACATTGTATTTACTTTCAAAAGTGACTGTCACAAAATTCTTGTCTGAAATTGCACAAGCCCATAGCATCTTCAGGGAGCTTCAGACATTGTCGGCAAGGCATTCATATGTCCCTCCCAGCGGTCTCCCCCAACTCTCCCTTTGTACCCATTGAGGGGGTACTTGGGCAAAAAAAAAATTGCACTGGCACCTTGACCGATCTACATGTGTACATGTACCGTACATTAGGCTTGGACGGTATTTCGGTATTACCGGATAGTCAAGGTTTTTTTTAATAACCGACTAACACCGACTAATGATTCATGAATACCGAAACACCGGTGAACTCGGTATGGAATTTCAATACCGCGGTATTCTTCCTTAGTGTTCAGAATCTTCGCAAAAGCCTTTCAAACAGAAAGACAAGCAACCTCTTTGACATGTTTGATTCCATTCTTTGTGGTTTCAGGCATCCAGTTTCATGTCTGCATTGTCAATTACCGTTGACAGATTGAACACAATTGTCAAGCTCCACTAGAAAACCTGATACTTCGGCAGCTGCAATACCACAAAGGCCTTTGAAGTTCTGCTAACGCCGCCGTGTTTGCGGTTTTCTTTGTGTGTAAAGTGTCTTCACTGAAAGTTCAAACAATGTTTTACACATGGGAATGTTTTGACGGTCGTGACAAAAACTGGTCGTCTTAATTGTTTCTCCGTGGTTGTTTCAGAGAAATCTTACATCATCATGCGTAATTTTTGCCACAACATAGTTCCCAAGAATATCAGCAACAAGAAAAAAAACGTGTCAAACTTGGTTATATGACCGCCAAAACTTGCAGGCTTCAGTCTAGTGCTATATGCGTGCGAGATGCACGTGCAAAGGGAAAAAAATTTCAAGGAAAGCGCAATATCAAAGCCATCATGATGTCTCATCATGGGCCTTGGGAATAAATGTACAATCAAGCAGTGTCGGCACCGACGCGCAAAAGGGAAAAAAATCTTGACTCGCCTGAATATATGATGCAGCGAGTGTGAACCGTCCGGAAAAATTAAGAAAAGAAAATATTCCAATGAATGATTTCTCATCGTGGGTAAAAACTCTTGTACGATCTGGAAGCGTACACTTTAGTGTTTACGAAATTACCCGAATACTCCTACGTCATGTGCGTCATGTGCGTGGCCGTACATGCCAGTGCATGATACTCATACACGTGGTCCCACACTGGTTCCGCACAGAGAGAGTCGGAACACGTGCTTTTCCCCACCCACTGCATTTATCGATCTAAAGCCGTGTCCGCACTCGCCTTTTTTTGGAAGGTTTTACCGAGACGCGACGATGGTGAGATGAAAAATGGTCAAACACCCTTTTAAAAGAATCTGATTGGCCATCTAAATCCACGCTCGGAACAATTTTTTCATTCATGTTTTGGTTCGATTGGTCCGTTAGTTATTCATCGGTACCGACGTTCAAAGGGAAGGGACTCGCCTGAATATGCCTAGTCGTCCAGATAAAAATCCAGAAAAGAAAATACTCCAAAAGAAAGCGTAATATACAAGAGCCATGATTTCTCACCGTGGGAAAACCCCCCGTAATGCCCGCACGATCACACGTAAAGCTACACCCGTCATGCTGGGCCGTGCCCCCACAAGCACAATTGCACGTGCTTTTTCCCACGCACTGTGTAGATCAAGCTGATTGGCCATCTAAAACGGCGCTCGAAACGGCGCTCGAAACATTTTCCATTCATGTTTTGGAATGATTGGTCCGTTCGTTATGAAGGTCGCGGCACCGACAACTTCATATTTCAGCGTCCACAATTGCGCATGCGTAACATTGTGATGTTTACTATTATCAATCACGGACCGATCACGTGAGAAGGAGTACGATATTTTTTATAGGAGTCCGTTTTTCACATGACACCGGCAAAGCACGTAAGGAGTCACTGGTGGCCGGCATAAATTGCATGAGCCTTTTGAATCACTCACAGTGGATACCAACTGAAAAGCATACGTTCGCTAGGATTTTGGGATCGTTGCGTGGTCGGCCTCTGGCATCGGTCGACGATCTGCATTATTTTTTAGTGGACCTTGTCAAGTCAATGACCTACAAATTCGAAAATGCAATACCACAAAAAGTAAGCTTCCCGTGTTTAATAATCTGTTAGTTACAATGATATTTTGTTTTTACAAACAAATGGACTGATGATGAAACCAAGACACTTTTAGTGCAGGAGATTTGCGGCGTGAAGCATTTGCGTGATTTATGCTGCGCCGGCGGCTTATCAACTCGGCACGTGGTACCTGGTGGTTAGTTATTTTTTCTTCTGATAATGACGTAACTAATACCCCACTTAACATAATACCGCGGTTTTAGTGAATACCGCGTTTTTTTTGTCACGGTATACCACGGTATAGTACAAGGCAATACCGTACAAGCCTACCGTACATGTGTATGTACAGTATACTACATCTCATCTGTTACATGTACGTGTAGTGGGGTGCTGTGGTCCAATGGTTACGGTGTTCGACTCGTGTGCCGTGGTACATGGGTTTGAATCCTGACTGTGGGAACATGGTGTGCTCTTGGGCAAGACACTTTACCATTATTGCTTCGTCCTTCGGATGGGACGCAAAGCCGTAGGTCCCGTGTGTTGTGTAATGCACGTTAAAGAACCGAGTAACGCTTATCGCTAAGAGAAGGGGTTTGCCCCGGTGTTTCTGGCAGTGGCTGCAATGTGCCGTAGCACCTTGTAAACCCTTATAAGGTGCTACATAATGGGTCTCATATTTCTCATAAACTTCATTTACCTGTCTTTAATAATAGACATAATTTCCAGCGCCTTGAGTACCTAATTGTTGGTAGATACGTGCGCTATATAAGACTCTGGTGTATACTAAGCATACCAAGTTTCAAGAATCAATCCAAAATCTTATTCCTCCATGAGTCAGACTCAAAACACCTCACATTCCACTGAGCTCCATCTCATATCCTGTTTTTAATCCAGTTGTAATTATCCCCAATTAAAATTGTTAATCCTTTTTCCTTTGTATATTCATTGAAAGTTTGACTTCCTCCGTTTTGGCTGTTCAACTAATAAATTAGTGGTAACAACAATAAACACCCCCTTGTACTTTTTTCCCCATTTTGTTTTTTTTATGCCAAGCCTGGCATGTATGAATCGTTGGATGTATCCCAACTTTTGGATTCATATCTCGCTTTGGGTTCATATTTTGGCTCGAAAATCTTTGCAAAGCCTTTTGATGTTCAATCTGAATGGAAAATTAGGTATGCACTTTAAACCTACCAGTATCCATGTTCCGGTACATACCCTACGGTATGTACCGTAGACCCCTTTTTGTAGGATTTGATGTTTTCTTGGTTGCCAAAATTGTGCCAGTGTTAAGCCAGAATCTTCCAAGGTATAGAGGCCAAAACTCGTGGGCCCTGAGTTGAAACATGACATACAAATTTTGAGGTTTGTCAAACTCCCCTTTACCACCTACACGTAATTTCTGCAATGTAAGTGGAAGCATATGGATGTAATAACCCATCAAGTACTTGTGTAAAAATGTACAAGACTGTGATTGATCGGAAAATGAAAAAAAAATCAGCATCACGGGAAAACCTCAAACTTTTTTTTCCCCGCACTGTTGGCACACATGTGGCAAGTGTGGCATTGCAAGGACAAGTCACCAGTCGTGATTTATGCCTCCCCCGTGGGCCAGTCTGCTTGAAAGCTCTAATGATTCGTTTCCTAATTGGCTTTCCTGTTAGCTGTCGGAGACGGTACCCAACAGCGCCCTCGCTGTCCAGTTTGTGACGGAAGCCAAGGCAATCCTGTATGAAGTCATCCCGGCCGATGAGGTCGGTGGTGGCGCCCTCACGCTGAGTCTCATGACGGCAGGCAAGCAGTTGAATCAAAGGTATGTAGGGTAAAAGGGGTGTGTCTCTGCCTGGTGTAAATGACTGGTGAACAGATGGTAAAGGGGCAGAATTTGACCGGATAATAGGAAAACCAGCATTAGTGTAATTGAGAGAGTGAGATCTCAACTGTTATATCTTATAACAAGACCATGCAGTTACTTTGTTGGCATTATATTATCAACCCTAGTCAGACCCAAAGTTTGTGCAGTAATCATGGTCGGATCCTTCAGTGAATAAACACAATGTATTTACAAAGTAATACAAATACTAAGTGGTTAATATACAGAGTGGTCCCAAAATACTACCACTACCACTGAGACTCAAACCACATATACTTGTACCAATGCATGGAAAGTCTTTTTAGAGGAAAATGAAACCAAGATCGCCTGATTTTGTTTTAGAGCCTATTTTGTGGAAGCAAGGTGGGGGTCATTTTTGTCCCGATGAATTACTAAACCATGCCCGGGAATTTGACTTGCACTGTAATTGATAGAGGGATTGTAGATAATACCCACATGAAAGAAGTATCCTTCACAAAATAGGCTCTGCAGCAAAAACTACTGGAACGAATCGGGATATTTTGGTATCATAACTCTTCTAAAAAAGATTTTCCATCAATTGGTACAGGTGGTTTAAGTCTCAAGGTAGCTGAAGTATGAGGTTCCGTTTTTTTTTTACCATCCTGTATAGCTTTCGGTTGCCAAATACTAAAAACACCAATTCAGCACAATTTATTGCGCAGTCATTTATGAATCCAAGCTAAATAAATGGCTACTTAAAGTCAAGGGCGGATCGGGGGGGGGGGGGGGGGGGGGGGGACAACGGGGGCCATTTCCCCCCCCCCCCCCCCCCACGAACCCACTTTTTAAATTTTTGTTAAGTGACGTCGTAATAAAGGAAGGCACTGCGTACACCACCAACTTTTCCTCAAACACAATTGGTTAAAGTGGTCAGAAATTGCCTCAGATCGCACCACAGAGCATCTAGAATCCAAACATTTTTGGGGGACAAAAATTTTGTTTGGCCCCTCCGCCAAAATTGTTTTCTGGATCCGCCCTTGCTTAAAGTAGGAATAAGTGGTTTGGGGGAAACATTTGCCTGCTATTGAATCATTTCTGATCTTGACTCATTTGTCCCCACTCAGAGGTCATTACAGCGGTAGACTTAAAGAGCCATGCAATGTAATTTGTTTTAACGCAATCCTTGAAAATGCTCCTTTGTGTCCCATTTAACCAAGCTTATTTTCATTTGCCATTTTCAAGGGTGTTTTGGTGCCTTTTGATTTTTATGCTAATGTGAATTTCCATATTCTTGCGTAAAAGTGTGATGTCATTGCAGGCATAAACCTCAATAATACATTTATTTCAGCACCAAAAGTTGCCACAATTTTTGATATTTTGCTGTCGTAACTTTCTTTGTTCTTTGGTGTTCGCTGTTGTGTAAGTAGATGGCAGTAAGCCAGTGGGCAAACTTATCTCACAGATGTTTTCAATGAGCAAATTTTTGGGTTCACAGTTTGAACAGAAAACCCCTAAACTGAACAATGTCTTCCTGAAATGACATCGCAGCAAAAGTGCTCAGTTGTCCGGAAAAGCATGGAAAATCTTAAATGTTTAAATAAGTGCACTTTTCAATGCAATTAACCAAAAAGGGATGTCAAATAGTTTCATGCATTTAAGAGGAGTAGGGAGAAGTACAAACATGTTCCTAAGAATTTCGTGGACCCTTTAAACTGATCAGTTATTAGTACATTCTGCTTGTCACTTATCTCTCACAAATCCCAAGAGAAGACAATTAAAAGAGAAACGTTATCAGGTATTCTACCCTAAAAATCCAGCATATCATAAAAAATTAGGGAAATTAAATCATTTCCACAAATAAATAAGACTTCACTTGGGGATTGTCGCATCGGTGATGGGGACCCACTTGCTATCTTTTCGGAAGACCCCGAATTGCCTGGAGGGGATTTCAAAAGTGGTGGCGTCCAAGTCCAAAAATAGAACATGATGTCATACCTAAATATACACCAGTACACTGACCTGAGAAGCAGCGTAGTGGGGGTACTGGTATATTTCTTATTCTTTGGTTTGTCAAAATGTGCTTTGTAATTGTTTGTGATAATGGTCTTGTTTACGTCAAGACTTTTTTTCGCGGCTGGCAAATTACTGAAGTATGTCTTTCTAATTAGTTGTGGCCTTCAAAGAGTCAGTGCATTAGGAAGAAACATATTAGAATTTCCTTACAATGAATACTTGTCGCTTTGCAGTTGTTTGATTCTTTATTTATTTATTTGCTCTATTCTTTTGATACGTCAAACAAGATGGTCGAAAAAACCACAAATCCATGAATGGAATTGTGTAGTTTATCAGAATACAGAACAACACGTATTCTGGAATAGTATTGATCAAGTCATTTACAAGTCAATCCCAAGCCATTTCCCCCCCCCCCCCCCCCCCCCCCCCCCCACGAACCCACTTTTTAATTTTTGTTAAGTGACGTCGTAATAAAGGAAGGCACTGCGTACACCACCAACTTTTCCTCAAACACAATTGGTTAAAGTGGTCAGAAATTGCCTCAGATCGCACCACAGAGCATCTAGAATCCAAACATTTTTGGGGGACAAAAATTTTGTTTGGCCCCTCCGCCAAAATTGTTTTCTGGATCCGCCCTTGCTTAAAGTAGGAATAAGTGGTTTGGGGGAAACATTTGCCTGCTATTGAATCATTTCTGATCTTGACTCATTTGTCCCCACTCAGAGGTCATTACAGCGGTAGACTTAAAGAGCCATGCAATGTAATTTGTTTTAACGCAATCCTTGAAAATGCACCTTTGTGTCCCATTTAACCAAGCTTATTTTCATTTGCCATTTTCAAGGGTGTTTTGGTGCCTTTTGATTTTTATGCTAATGTGAATTTCCATATTCTTGCGTAAAAGTGTGATGTCATTGCAGGCATAAACCTCAATAATACATTTATTTCAGCACCAAAAGTTGCCACAATTTTTGATATTTTGCTGTCGTAACTTTCTTTGTTCTTTGGTGTTCGCTGTTGTGTAAGTAGATGGCAGTAAGCCAGTGGGCAAACTTATCTCACAGATGTTTTCAATGAGCAAATTTTTGGGTTCACAGTTTGAACAGAAAACCCCTAAACTGAACAATGTCTTCCTGAAATGACATCGCAGCAAAAGTGCTCAGTTGTCCGGAAAAGCATGGAAAATCTTAAATGTTTAAATAAGTGCACTTTTCAATGCAATTAACCAAAAAGGGATGTCAAATAGTTTCATGCATTTAAGAGGAGTAGGGAGAAGTACAAACATGTTCCTAAGAATTTCGTGGACCCTTTAAACTGATCAGTTATTAGTACATTCTGCTTGTCACTTATCTCTCACAAATCCCAAGAGAAGACAATTAAAAGAGAAACGTTATCAGGTATTCTACCCTAAAAATCCAGCATATCATAAAAAATTAGGGAAATTAAATCATTTCCACAAATAAATAAGACTTCACTTGGGGATTGTCGCATCGGTGATGGGGACCCACTTGCTATCTTTTCGGAAGACCCCGAATTGCCTGGAGGGGATTTCAAAAGTGGTGGCGTCCAAGTCCAAAAATAGAACATGATGTCATACCTAAATATACACCAGTACACTGACCTGAGAAGCAGCGTAGTGGGGGTACTGGTATATTTCTTATTCTTTGGTTTGTCAAAATGTGCTTTGTAATTGTTTGTGATAATGGTCTTGTTTACGTCAAGACTTTTTTTCGCGGCTGGCAAATTACTGAAGTATGTCTTTCTAATTAGTTGTGGCCTTCAAAGAGTCAGTGCATTAGGAAGAAACATATTAGAATTTCCTTACAATGAATACTTGTCGCTTTGCAGTTGTTTGATTCTTTATTTATTTATTTGCTCTATTCTTTTGATACGTCAAACAAGATGGTCGAAAAACCACAAATCCATGAATGGAATTGTGTAGTTTATCAGAATACAGAACAACACGTATTCTGGAATAGTATTGATCAAGTCATTTACAAGTCAATCCCAAGCCAATCTCAATTCAAATCACAAGTCAAATCACAAAGGAAAGCTTTTGTTACAGTTCATTTGAATATCTTGTAACTTAACTTGAGACTGGCAACGGTGGCAGAACCAGGGGGACCATGGGTGCCCCCCCCCCCCACCCACCGTTTCAACTGGGGGAGGGGGTCATGGCCCCCTTCCACTCTTGGTAGGTCCTAAAATAGTGTACTCTATGCCCAACATGTATACATATTTGGGTAAACATACAAAATCAGTTCTCTAATCTACTGTCTCTGGAAATAATAGGATTGAATGATGGCCCTCGATCATCGCGTGCGGGAAGGCCTATATACACTGCAGTTGCCATGGCATAGGCAGCCGAACCAGAGGGCCATGGTGTAACATTCACCGAAAAGAAAAATATAGAAGAGGGCGCCCCCTATCGATGAATGATGTCCAGCAACCTCCCCCCCCCCAGCCCCAGCGCTTTTCGAATGTGCAACGGCTGGCCAGCATCGGCGGGGCTTTGCCCCCACTTACAAACTGTTCCGGCGCTGCTGAAGGCTGGATGAATTGTGAGGGACTTGCGATGATTTGTGATGACTTACAAAGACTTGGATGATCATTAGATGGTTCTGCTTTTTATATCCCCTTTTATGGGCTCCATGCGCCGACGAAAGAGGGCACCCTTTTACCTAGCAACGACGTCCCATGGGCGGGACATTTCGTTAGTTGACGCGCATGGTTCCTTGTGTTTGACGCACGTACACCAGGGGATTTGTACTATGCATATGCAGTGGCCGCGTATCGCGGCAATGAATTGCAGTCAGGCAAGATGGCGTCGGTCGGTCACCCCACCCCCAACTGTGCTTGCTTTGCCGGTGAGGGGGTACTTGTGAACGGAGCAGATGTTCAGTCACAACAACTGTTATCAGAACTGGGAAGATATGAAAGTCACAACTTATAATGTCTATTCCCTAACGCAATATTAACCCCAAAAATCTGAAAATTAATGTAGGCTTGAGGTACAGATCCGAGCCAAATAATTATACTTTTTGTTTCTTGTTTTGAATTTCAGGAGTGGTGGAAGGGCCATCATCACTGATTCGTTGCCTGAGATCCAGACACCAGACTATTTAGTCATTGTGGGCAGAGCTCGAGTGTACAGTCAGTTTGAGGCCGAGACCTGGCGGAGTAGACCGGCGCTAAACTATGACATTAGTAAGTGCTGGTGAATCAGATCCAGAGTTGTTGATCAACCCAGCAATTGATTTCACTTGTGGAATCACTCTGCTTGTGCAACATTGTGTTGCTACATGTGACGTGTCATACTGCTTCAAATATACCGATATATCATGCATGATGGCGACAGGAATATTTCAACATTGAGTTTTAAAGATATAGTCCATCATTTGTAATTTGTGCATTTTGTTCGTTTGAAGCAACAAAAGTGTTCAAAATCTAATGAAGGATACTGAAATACTAACCTGATGAAGTTTCAGCTTAGCTTCAGCTGTATATTCTGAGAAAAACAGCATTCTAGGATCTCAATTTCAAATCAAAAGTTGCTGAATCATGTTTTGAATTGTTTGAATTGCAGCTACACGCGATGTCGCGCACTGATCCGACAAATTATAGCAACCGCGCGCCTGTGCGTCGTGCCAATGCTTGCGCGCACTGCGCTGAATGACAAAACGAACTACTAATTTAAATTTTCCTACGGTGCGTCTTAAGACGCACCGTTGGAAAGGCCTTCTTTCGTTGATTACTTCAAAATGATAGCTTGCCAGAAAGATTAATTTCACAGGGAGTTCAGTCCCCTTACTATCTTTCAACCAAGCATTTTTTCAACAATAATACGCCAGTTACTTTTTCGGATGGCTGCAAATGATGGACTATAGCTTTAAGCTGTTCGAGAGCTTGTAAAAAAATCTTCACAGAAGCTTACGTAGGTAGGACTTGAACCCAGGACCTCCTGCAAACTAGTGCAGATGTGTTAACCACTGAGCCACAAAGCCCACCAATTAAAATCTGCAATTTGGCGTTGAAGGACAAAACCCAATTTTAAATTTACTTAAATTTAGCATAAAGAATTACAAGCAACTGAATACTTATAAAAAAAATGTTACACAAACTGTGGTCACAAAAGCTGCAATTGACCATATCCAAGATTTTATAATATTTAAATTTGTGAATGTTTCATTACCTTGAGTTTATCTTGGTGAGAGCAACTTTGTTTGTTTGTGTTCTACAAAATGTGCAGCTATACAACCCTACTATGGAAAGACAGTCTTGATGTATCTTAAGCTGAAGGGAGGTAAGTACAATTTTGCGTGGCAAAATAAGGGAGAAACTGCCAAATAGTTTTGCAGATTTCTATGCAAAGCTGCTTGTTGGGGGGCATCTGCAGCCTTTTAAAAATAAATTAAAAGGTATTTTTTGGGGGGCTGGACATTTATGCATCATTGTTTCTTGCATAATTAAAACATTAATTGTTTGTAATAATTGTACATGTAACAGAGATGAAACTTTTCCGATTTTAATCGGAAAACCGACTTTTTGAATTTTCCAACGAAATTTCCGATTTTTTTTTACAGTGTGTTCCACAAAATTTGATATTCTGATGATTTTTTCACAAAATGTCATTTTATTTCAATCATAATTTCGAAGAAAAGTCGATGGAAATGGCGTGGCTAAAATCATCGCGAACGTAGTTTTAATCTCTTTCACCAGTCGTTATTGGAGAGTTTCAACAGTAGAAACACAGGGCATAACACTGATCGGAGCCTTCTCCGGCTGGACAAAAGGTTAAACATTGACAGGCGACATGGAAAAATCACTGTGTCGCACGTGCGTGCGAATATGCAATGGTACCAGCGTGCGTACGTACCGCACCACCGTACCGTCCGCTAGCACATGGCCGGCCGGGACGGGTAGCCTTGTGAAGGATCCTGTGGATAAAATCATTATGTTGTGCGATTTTCGGAGGTTTCAGATTCAGTTGTACAAAATGCAATGCTTTAAAAATCATGATGATTATCTCGAGGATAGCGAAGAGAGCATTAGCGAAACATTTCACTGGCATTTGTTGGAAGAGAAAGACGGTAATGCCTGATTTTTCCCCATGTATGAATGCAAGTGGTTGAATCATGGACATGATTGAAGCACCATGAACGGTGCCCTTGTCTTTCGGACTTAATTCCCTCGACTTTCTCAAGTAAGAAGTGAACTTCTTTATTGATGACTCCATTACTCTAACCGTAATTCAGGCATTTTATGCAATGAAAACACTGACCGTTTTTTTTTTTCATCGTAAAATTTTGTTTGAGTCAAAAATAAAGCAGGAGTCGGTGTCCGGAAATTGGGCATGAAGTGTATTGTACATGCATGTATATGTGTGTAATGGCAGCGCGGCCCAGATTTCGGACACGTATTTTTGTTCGGCCTTTTTTCCGATTTTTTTGCCACATGCCAGTTTCATCTCTGATGTAAGTATTTTAAGTACATGTATATAAAACAAAATTGAATCTACTTAGTATTAATTAGCAAAATACATAATTGGGTTGCTTTTGTGCGCAGTAAGTTCAGCCTTGTGAGTACACTGGAACCCAGTCCCCACACATTTTATTATGATGGTGGAGGGAGGCAAGAACCATGCAGTCTACACTGTAAGAACTGAATTATTATTGGGACCACAAATAAATCTAAATTTTAAAAGCACTTTTTCCATTACTAAAGTGTTGGCTGGCATTTTTCAAAAGGGAATATTTTTTATGCCTAGACATATTGCGATAGTCCTGAGACCTAATGACGTCGCGCTTTGTTTACATGTGTGCTTTCCTGTGACAGCAAGTGAGACGCGTCCCACCTTGCTCTCATATGTAGGAAAGCGCACATATAAACAAAGTGTGACATCATTAGGTCTTTAGGTCCTATCATGGGCGTCGCCAGGATTTTTTCTAGAGGGGGGCAAAAAAATTTTTTGACCAAAAATGCTTGTATTTTTCAACACATTTTCGATTTATCAGTTTTAGAGGGGGCAGGGACATTTTGCCCCCCCCCAACTCATTAAATTTACACCACTTTGTCTTCGCGCCTCTTTTTCTTTTCTTTTTTCTTTTTTTTTTTTGCGTCCTTTTTTTTTTTGTTTTTTTTTGCTTTTCCAGGGGGGGGGCAAGTGCCCCCCCTTGCCCCCCACTCGCGACGCCCATGGGTCCTATTTAGGCTAATTAAGAAATGTATTCTCAGGTTAAAATTCAGTATTAACAAGGAGAGTACATCTTGGAAATGTACATTTCCCTGACACAAAGTCAATCATCTCCTTCATCTTCACTTTTGCTTGGACAGACGTTCCTGGGTGGCATTGCGGTGACGTCGGCAAGACTCTAGAGATGCCTGGGGCCACCAGCATCCTGATACTAGCCTGTCACAATCGTACTCATATCCAGGGCTTACCTCTGCTGTCCCACATGGTCCAGCCGACCTACCCTGCCAAGAGATGGAGGTTGTATGACTTGAGAGCCTACCCGAATCAGGCTGATGTCATTAACCAGGTCAGACAAATCTTAGGAGGTGAATTCGGGCGATTCACAATGCAGTGCGCCACCAAGAGTTTGCCATGAAGAGTCCATTTTTTAAGTTAACGGTCGACAAAACACGGCCCATCTGAATGAGTGTCAGTAGACAACTTGAGCTAATTCTTTGTAGATTGGGGCATACCATTTCTGCCACCTTACAAAAAACACCCTATTGATAAAAGGAAAAGAAAAGGGCAAACACATTCTCGAATCATACGCTTAGGAAACTACTGACCGGAAAAAGTAACATTTTCAAACGTCCCGCGCTGCGAATTTGTCGACCGTCTCCCACAATGCAATGGGAAAAATTAACTCTCCATGGCAAACTCTTGGTGGGGCACTGCATTGTGAATCGCCCGAATTGGCATAGTGGCATTTTTCTTACCGGTACCTTCCACCGCTGTGGCCGGGGTTCGATTCTCATCCAGGGCCAATATGTAGATTGTAGGGTTGTGTAGTCTACTAGTCCATCACAAGTCAAAGGCGCGGTGGAGTGCCAGAATGCCTCATCACTTGTAGTTCCGAAACGTTTGAGTTCATAACGTCATTGCTAACTTAAAACATTTCATTGGCACGTTACTACCCAGTTTCTGTATTAAAGATATAGTCTATCATTTGTAATTTGTGCATTTTGTTCGTTTGAAGCAACAAAAGTGTTCAAAATCTAATGAAGGATACTGAACAACTAACCTGATGAAGTTTCGGCTCAGCTTCAGCTGTATATTCCGAGAAAAACAGCATTCTAGGATCTCAATTTCAAGTCAAAAGTTGCTGAATCATGTTTTGAATTGTTTTGAATTGCAGCTATACGCGATGTCGCGCACTAATCCGATGAATTATAGCAAACGCGCACGCCTGTGCATCGTGCCAATGCTCGTGCGCGCTACGCCGAATAACAAAACGAACTACTAATTTAAATTTTCCTACGGTGCGTCTTAAGACGCACCGTTGGAAAGGCCTTCTTTCGTTGATTACTTCAAAATATAGCTTGCCAGAAAGATTAATTTCACAGGGAGTTTAGTCCCCTTACTATCTTTCAACCAAGTATGTTTTTCAACAATAATACGCCAGTTACTTTTTCGGATGGCTGCAAATGATGGACTATACATGTAGCTTTAAATGTCAAATGTAGACTTTGTGACATGAGTAGGCTTTCGTACGAGGGCTGGGCTTTGCTGCATCATTTTCTGTTTTTGATTGCAATGGCTAGCTGAACTAAGATTAGTTAAAGTGGTCAGAATCTTTTGGTCTGGGAACCAGACTGGTGTAAAGAAGTTGAGAAGAAGCACTTTCAGAGGAGGGATGATGTCACTTTTGTTAATTCCTCAAATTATTTGTTTCTGCATTCGCAGCCTGTTCAGATGTTCACTGCCTTCTCAATCTATTAAAGGAAAGCAGTTGACAGAAACACAAATTGAGAAGTTGATATTACTCATTTATTTATGACAGACGCTGTCCGTCAACACCAGTGCCGGCGTTGCGTGCCTTCTGCAGGAAGGAAGATTTGAGTTTGGCCAGCACCACTTAAATATGGCACTCCAGGTGGCAGGCGGACGTGCCAAACTTGGGCAAATTCTCGACGAAAGGTGAGGCGTCGTGTGAATGAAGTTCGGGGGTGACAAATGCGATGATTCAAATAGATCAGACGCGTAATTGGCCAGGTACTAATATGATCTGATGATGATAGGACTGTCACGAGCAGTTTTTTTTCACACATTGGCAAATGCTGGGGGCAACATTCAAGAAGGTGACTTTTATTTATGGCTGGAAATACATATTCACATGCCCCAAAATGTCTGCCGCGACAGGAGTAAACAACAACTTGTTTTATTTTGCGTCTGTTCTCAGGAACAGTGTGACATTAGGTTAGTTTCCTTTCAACCAGACCTTTGAAATCTTAAACATAAAAATGCCCCTTTAGGCCCAAAAAAAACCCCTCCGGCTTCTGGTATGGAGCTTGCCCAAAAAGTGGTGCGGCGACGCGGCTTTTTTTTTTTTACGTTTTTTTTTTGCTTCAGATGTCGGCCGATGACTCAGAGATGAAACTTTTCCGATTTTAATCGGAAAACCGACTTTTTGAATTTTCCAACGAAATTTCCGATTTTTTTACAGTGTGTCCCACAAAATTTGATTTTGTAAGGATTTTTCTCACAAAATGTTATTTTATTTCAATCATAATTTCGAAGTAAAGTCGATGGAAATGGCACGTTAAAATCATCGCGAACGTAGTTTTAATCTCTTTCACCAGTCGTTATTGGAGTGTTTCAACGGTAGAACCACAGGGCATAACACTGATCGGAGCCTTCTCCGGCTGGACAAAAGGTTAAACATTGACAGGCGACATGGAAAAATCACTGTCGCACGTGCGTGCATGTACTGTACGCAATGATACCAGCGTACGTACCGCGCCGCACCGTACCGTCTGCAAGCACATGGCCGGTCGCGACGGGAACGGGTAGCCTTGTGAACGATCCAGTGGATAATATCATTATGTTGTGCGATTTTCGGAGGTTTCAAATGTAGTTATACAAAATACAATGCTTTAAAAATCGTGATGATTATCTCGAGGATAGCGAAGAGAGCATTAGCGAAACATTTCACTGGCATTTGTTAGAAGAGAAAGACGATAATACCTGATTTTTCCCCACGTATGAATGCAAGTGGAGTAGTGGAGTTGTGTGGTTGAATGGACATGATTGAAGCACCATGAACGGTGCCTTGTCTTTCGGACTTTTCCCTCGACTTTCTCAAGTAAGAAGTGAACTTCTTTATTGATGACTCCATTACTCTAACTGTAATTCGGGCATTTTATGTAATGAAAACGCTGGCCATTTTTTTCATCGTAAAATTTTGTTTGAATCGAAAATAAAGCAGGAGTAGGTGTCCAGAAATTGGGCATGAAGTGTATTGTACATGCATGTACATGTGTGTAATGCAGCGCGGCCCAGATTTCGGACACGTATTTTACGTCGGCATATTTTCCGATTTTTTGGCCATATATGCCAGTTTCATCTCTGATGACTGCAAATGGTGCCCGACTAAACTTAGTGCAAATATATGGGAGTCCAGAGAGGCGATATAAAGCTTGTACTCGATCCTAACCCCATCTAAAAACACGTTAAAATTGTGCAGCAGCAGGATCCCAGTCAAACCTGTGAGTTTGGCGGATTTGAGACATCATCTTTCATTGAAAAAAAAAACTTGTTCATTTTGCCGACGCGCATGGCTACAGCGACGCGCGCGCATACCAGAAACCGGAGACTTATTTTTTTTGGCCTTAGGCCTATACTAGATAGGCTGGTGCCAGAATTCTAGACATTTATTTCTCAGCAGAAGTATGCATGGACATCGATCAGTGACAGTTCTATAGATATGACTGAATTAAGTGCAAGGTTGCAGTCAGTTGATAGGAAATAGAAAATCTTTTAATCTTACCAATGTCAGGGTTTTTCCCCTGTGACTATTGAACTGACCATCGCATTAATCCTGTCTCCAGGTTGTCCCGTCTGAGTTGCGCGACTAGATCCTTATCAATGAACACCTTACACTGACCGACGTTATCGCTCTCGACCCTCTAATGAGGTGACATGTCCAGCTTGGTAAGGACCAGTGGGTATGACTAGTTGACTGATAAGTGGCGATTCCCCAAGGGTCCATAACTGACTTTCTGGGGCTGATAGTGACACTCCCCTTCTTGACAAGTAGTCTGTTGAATTGAGGTAACCCTGTAACTGTAAGTCCCACTTTTCCTCAAAAGGAAATCAAAACCAAAGTACTGTACCCTCCTTACAAGAACTCTGCTTACTGTAAGCAGCAAATGTAAAGTCACTTATCCACTCCGTTCACAAGTACCCCCTCACCGGCAAAGAAAGTGCAGTTGGGGGTGACCGACCGACGCCATCTTGCCTGACTGCAATTTTGCCGTGACACGCTGGCGGCCGTACCACTGCGTGTACACATAGTACAAATCCCCTGGAGTACGTGCGTCACACACAAGGATAGGTGCGCATCAACTAGCTAAATGTCCTGCCCATGGGACGTCATTGCTAGGTAAAATGGCGCCCTCTTTATTGGCGCACGGAGCCCATAGTGGAGCAGATAACATCAATTTTGCAGTGGAATCGTGCAAATGGTGATACAAGCACCAAATTTAGCACAATGATTCTCAAGGGTGTACTTTACAAATCTGCCCGATTGGCCACTTGAAAATCCAAGATGGCGGCCATTTTTCAAGATGGCCGCCAAAATGAGCCCCCTAAGAACTATTTTTCTCATAGAAATGCTTCTATATGGTCGATTTGGATGATCCTGGTATCAATATCTGTGTTTTCAGGCATGCTGAATTCATTTTTGATAGTTTTAGCTGCATTATTAAACTCTTTGTGGTGGAAAATAGCAAAATTATTTGAAAATAACAACAAAAACACTCAAAATACAGTAAAACACTTTTAATTAGAGTTTCAATCGAATAAACACAATTAGGATATAAATGTGCACAGAAACAATTGATTGGTAAATTGATTGGTAAAGAAATTGTAATTTAAATTAACATAGTAGCAAGACCCATGTACAATGTGGACAGAATACCCAGCATAATGTCCTGTACATAGTTAAAGATATAGTCCATCATTTGTAATTTGTGCATTTTGTTCGTTTGAAGCAACAAGAGCATTCAAAATCTAATGAAGGATACTGAACAACTAACCTGATGAAGTTTCAGCTCAGCTTCAGCTGTATATTCCGGGAAAAACAGCATTCTAGGATCTCAATTTCAAATCAAAAGTTGCTGAATCATGTTTTGAATTGTTTTGATTTGCAGCTATACGCGATATCGCGCACTGATCCGACGAATTATAGCAACCGCGCGCGCCTGTGTGTCGTGCCAATGCTTGCGTGCGCTGCGCCGAATAACAAATCTGGCATTTGATTGATTATGTAGGTATTCATTCCAAGAACAAGTTGATGACTGTAATGCAAGTTTTACATGAACACTCTTTAGTAATTAAAGGTATAGTCCATCATTTGTAATTTGTGCATTTTGTTCGTTTGAAGCAACAAAAGTGCTCAAGATCTAAAGAAGGGTGCTGAACAACTAACCTGATGAAGTTTCAGGACAGCTTTAGCTGTATATTTCGAGAAAAACAACATTCTAGGATCTCGATTTCAAATCAAAAGTAGCTGAATCATGTTTTGAATTGGGCCTGAATTCAGTGTCCGAGACACGTTCTCACTGAGCCGATTGCAGCTACGCGATGTCGCGCACTGATCCGACGAATTATAGCAACCGCGGGCGCGTGTTCGTCGTGCCAATGCTTGCGCGCGCTTCACCGAATAACACAACGAACTACTTATTTGAATTTCCTACGGTGCTTCTTAAGAAGCACCGTTGGAAAGGCCTTCTTTTGTTGATTTCTTCAAAATGACAGCTTGCCAGAAAGAATACTTTCACAGGGAGTTTAGTCCCCTTACTATCTTTCACCAAGTATGTTTTTCAACAATAATTACGCCAGTTACTTTTTGGATAGCTGCAAATGATGGACTCTGGCTTTAAGCTGTGTGGCTTTTGCGCTAAGTTTATTTCTTAAGTTTCGATCTATTCACTTCTGTTGAAAGATTTTGTGGATATCACAATTGTGGACAATTGCCATCGCAATTTTAGTTAAGCGATTGAAGAATCATTCAAGAAGTTTGGATGAGAATCCCTTACAAAATGCATGTTGTTTGGACTTTTATGAACATGATCAGTCTGTTACACTGAAGTGACCTGACTTTCCTAAGTAGAAGGGCGCCCCCATGGGTTTCAGTACTGTTGCCTTATTCACCTGCAGCATATTTTTTTAAGGGGTAATTTCCGAGGTTAGCAGAAGGGGCAATAAAATATAGGAAGTATTTTCCAGTTTGAAAAATGCTTGATCTAAATTTGTCGTGAGAAACCACACGTGGCTTAACATTTGGCTTGAAAATTGAGGAAATGTGACAAATGTTTTACAGCTCCATACCTCTCAACAATTTCCGGCGTGGGAATTCAAGATAAACTTACGTCATTTTTTTTTTTTGCAGGGGGTTTCCTGTTTTGCACTTATCCCCCGTACAAGTGATACTTTCCGGCGCGGAAAATGTAGACAAATTTTATCATAGTTTGCAGTTCCTGTTCTAAATGATGTTTTGTGTCAGCGAGCGTGGGTAGCACATGTGCGAGGGAAGTAGTTAAATTTGGATAACCAAGTTGTTGAAGTCCGGCATGAGTACGTAGTGTCAAACTGTCAGTACAAATTACACGTTCAATTCTGAAGCAACCTCCGAAAAAAAATCTGAATTGAAACTTGAGTCTCTTCTGAAAGTATTGTCATATGTGCATGGGTGTTTGTTTTCACTTGATGGGTTTCCAACTGCTGGAAGCAATTATCTTTGCCCGACTGATGTGCAATGAGATCTGTGGTTGTCTGATGATAATCACGTCAGAAGCTGATCAAGTTTGTCGTGCTTGTGGCATTGCGTTACTTCTTGTGAAACTTTGCAAGTTCCCTCCCTCCCTCCAATCAGTCTGGTGAAGCTGTGCTCCTAAAACCAACATTATGAATCGTTTTGTAGCATATTAACTAATTAGCTTTTTTCAAGGGCGGATCCAGAACCAATTTTTTTTGGGGGGAGGGGGGCCAAGAGGACTTAACTATTTGGGTTTTTTTCAAAAAGGGGAAGGACTTAAGTATATATTAAGTGTATTTTTTTGGGGGGGGGGCATGGCCCCCATTTGAAATTCCCACAAATGACATTCAAAGCCTTTCTTTTTCATTGTCTGAGAAGTTACTAAGTAATTTGTAAAGCTAGTTATGGGGTACCCACGATCCCATAATCTGGAACTGGTTCCTGACATCAACGGTCGGGTACAAGGGTTCCCAGTTCCGATACACAGCCCTAGGCATTAGCCTTCTTTGTATCTTACTGTCGATTTTTAAATCAGACGGACAGCTTACACAAGAGAGGAAGATCAACTGACAGTCTTGTCACATTTTGTAAACAGGTAATGAGCACATCTAGTAGCTTCTTACTGACACTGATCAATCTTGACGAGGAGTGTTTAAACTCCAGCATGACAGAGACGTGACAGTGGTGTCTGTGTTGTTTTTGATTTGCTTCAGTCCCCCCCCCCCCTCCACCCCCATCCCCCTCGAACAACACTCTGTGTCGGGGAAACAGAGAACAAGTTGTTGACAGTGATGATCCTCTGACACTGCAAGTCATACGCTTCCACAATCTTTAACACCGGCAAGTAACGTCTTTGAGTAGTTGGCAAGGCTTTTCCTTCCACTAGTCACAAACCCCGCTCATTTCCCGGCCGGCTTAACGGCCAATATCCCTCTCGGAATTGGAAGGGATTAACGCAGCCCGCTTAGGTCAGACTGCGTGTACTCTTTGCCAAGTGCGTTTATCCTCCTATCTTGTGTTGGGTAAAAGACGTGATGTTTGCCTTCATTGGTTTCCTGTTTCGTTTCCGTTTCAGCTGCTGTCAGTTGGTTAACATCTCAGGCTCACTCAGCGGAGAGCTCGACCCCGGGGAGTGGGGTCTCTATCAAACGTACTCAGGTATGCAGATATATTGAGTATGAATGCTTGAGGGCGCTATTTAGCCTTCCCATGGAATATTGAGTAAAGTCAACCCTGGCCTGCAAACAGTGCGTCACAATTAGGGGTGTGCATTTAATGGTATTACATGTATGCGAACCGGGTACCTGATTGAAAAAAATGTGTATCTATTAAAGAAACACACCCCAAAAATTCCAAGCTCCATGGTTCAGATTGTTCGTAAAGGGCTGCACGATACAATTGTGTACAGTAGCTTCATAGCTTTACGGCATAAACTGAAACTTGGGCGAGCGTATAATTGTAAAATATGTTTTGGTTTTCAATTTGAAAATTCCCCCCCCCCCCCACCAAATGACATTCAACACCTTTCTTTTTCATTGTCTAAGAAGTTACTAAGTATTTTGTAAAGTTGGTTATAAATTACAGGTACCCGATCCCATAATCTGGAACTGGTTCCTGACTTCAATGGTTGGTTCCGATGCACAGCCCTACAATGTGACCATTTCGTCAGGTGCCCGGTAGAAGGGCATATGAGCATTCTGATGCAAAATCATTTTCAAGAAAATTGCATTGAAAGGTTCTATTGTTCCCCCACTCGTATTATTAATCCAATGTTCTCCCACGCGTATAAATCGCACAAATTTGAAATTTGTCACATGTATAATTGAGTCATAAGTTTTGGAACAACACTTGTATTGATTTCTGACAAAAGTGTTTACATTTCATTAAAATAGAGGCATTTTTTTGCATATGCTCTTGGGAATATTTTGGTGATTACGCGTTCGCGCATAAGGGCATATGCGCAAATGCTCTTCTGTCGGGCACACAACAATTTGCTCTAATCATACATTGGACTCCATTTTCTTACTCAGTTATCAAACCCTTTTCTATTTGTAAGGAATGTTTCCTGTACTTTTGGCCTTGACAAACTGATACATCAGCTCAGAATGAGATGAGAGCTGACATGCAAGCTCAGTTTGTAAGTCCTTCATTATTAACATCACAAAAATCCTTCAAAAAATGTACTGATGTTGTGACAGTTTGCTAGGATTTTCATGAATAAACAAAGCAAAAAGCAAAAAAAAGTAAGCCATTCGAATAATCAAAACCATTTTTGAAAAGAGATTGATTAATTGATTAAAAAAAACCACGCAATTAAACGGCTGCACACCTATGTTCCGACACCCTTATGTTCCGACACCCCTATGTTCCGACTGCTCACCTATCTTCCGACACCCCTAGGTTCCGACACCCCTAGGTTCAGACACCCCGACATGTTCCAACATCTGGCCCCAACGCACCAGTCTAAAAGGGGTTAACAATCTTATGTGAGGGTTGTCGGAACATAGGGGTGTCGGAAGATAGGTTGAGCAGACAGAACATTGGGGTGTTGGAACATTGATTGATTAAAAAAAAAACCATGCAATTAAACAGTTGCACACCTATGTTTCGACACCCTTATGTTCCGACACCCCTATGTTCCGACTGCTCACCTATCTTCCAACACCCCTATGTTCCGACACCCCTAGGTTCCGACAGCCCTAGGCTCCGACACCCCTAGGTTCAGACACCCCTAGGTTCAGACACCCCTAGGTTCAGACACCCCTACATGTTCCAACATCTGGCCCCAACGAACCAGTCTAAACGGGCTAACAATCTTATGCGCCGGTTGTCGGAACATAGGGGTGTTGGAAGATAGGTTGAGCAGACAGAACATTGGGGTGTTGGAACATTGGGGTGTCGGCAGATATAGGTGTGTCAGAACATAGGGGTGTCGAAACATAGGTGTGTCGGAACATAGGTGTGTCGCAAGATAGGTTAGTCGAAACATAGGTTGAGCAGTCGGAGCATAGGGGTGTCGGAACATAAGGGTGTCGAAAAAATAATGAACAGTGAGCTGTCATACGGTATCAACTCAAAATACCACCCACTATAACTACGAACTGATACATGGTGTTAAATGTAAAGCCAAGTCATACTGAACCAAAAATAGTCCAGTGTTAAAGTTTTTATTATCTAGTGATGGTGGAGAGTGCAATTCATTTTGTATTCCACTTAATTTTTTCTCATTAGACGGTAGGGAGGGTAATGTTCCCCATCTGACCCTGACTGAGGCACCATGTCGACACTTCTTGACCCCTGACCCCAACGCCAGCAGGTACCCAGTCAGGCAGCTGGATCTTAGTGATAACTTCACCTTCTCTGTGACTGCAAGCCTGAAAGGCAAGAAAGGTACGGTGAGAGTTTTTAATTGGAGTGTTAGGGTCCACTTACATAGCAGGCAGCAACGTGATTCAGCGCAGTTGTAAAAATTACAATGTGCTACCACAAGGTAGCTAGAGTTGCATTCTGCTCGCTCAACGCACGCTGGGTGATGGCGTTATGGAGCTTGGCCATACTCATTTGTCAAGTTTGGCCTGAAAATTCCATGGCAACTTTCAGAATGTGCACACTTTTTTCAGAATGTGCGCATTACCAAATTATGTCGGGTCGAGTGTGAGGCCCTGTCAGCACCGGTTCAAAGTCAATTATTGCCCTTGACTGGATAAGTCTTGTCAGGACACTAAATAAATGCAAACAGTAGGATTGTAATAGGTCTCGTTCAAATGACGTCATTTCCTACAGACCATCCACGTGCATCGGCATTTTGAGCGTCAAATTGCATAACGCACATCGGCTGTGTTGTATTTCGAACACATTTCGAGCAACAAGCGCGCGTGTTTGGAACATTTTTCAACACTGCGCAATGCGTGCTTGATTGCGTAAAATATGCAGTTTCAGTTCTCCTACAGAAATATGGCCGTCATTGAGCGAGCCCTATTGTGTGACGCCGGGGTTCAAAAAGTCCCATACGCCCATGGGAAATGGGAAATACTATTAAACAGTTAGGATTGTTCTTGTTCCATGACGCGGTATTTGTGTGCAAATAGCATGCTGGTGTGTGCGTTCAGCCTTGTGCGTAGCACGTATTCTTCCAGAGAGCCAGCACTAAAGAGTTGGGTTCAAACATTTTCGTGAAGGGATGGTCTGGAAGAGAGAAATACATTTTCCACCAATTTTGTATCGAAATAAAAGTTCAAATATATCAAATGACAAGGATCTATATGTCAGTGATATAAAACAAATATTGAGCGGTTTTAAATTGTGAAATGGGAGGAATATTATCGCTCGGTAAAATCTGGACTTTTCCAGTTCACTCGGCTTCGCCTTGTGAATTGGAAAAGTCCGGATTTTACCTTGCGATAATACTCCTCCCATTTCATTCTAAGCCACTCAATATTTGTATAAAATGTTTAGTTTCATTTTTGAATGTTTGCAAATGATGTTCGTTACCTTTAAAGTACACATGTACATAACACAAGGTAGAGTAATAACGTGGGTGATTTTTTTTTATCTCCAAAATACCGCATGATAAATCTGCATTCTGACCATTCGTTGCACGCTTGGTGACTGTGGATGTTGAGCTTGGCCATACTCATTTGTGATGCGATCAAGCTAAATGAGTTGTTTGTCGACCCCGGTCAAAAGTTTGTTTATTACAGATTTGAAAAGAGCACAATCTCAGCATTACTACTGTGAAAACCGCATCCTGATACCATCTTTAGTTAAAAAAAAATATGGAAGCCGGAACACCAAGGAATGTGATAAGGTGATGTGGTCCTATTTTGGCCTGTATCTCCAAATAAAAATTCCCGACAAACGACTCATGTAGCTTGATCGCATCACATTTGTTCAGTTTGGCCTGAAAATTGCATGACAATTTTTTTTTCTCAGAATGTGGACATTACTGCATTATGTTGGGTCGAGTGTGAGGCCCCGTCAGCAACAGGTCAGAGTCTCTTCCAGTAGTCCCTGAATTTGAGGAGATACCCGTGCACGGAGTCCACTGTTTTATCCTCCCAATTTTTCTTTATCAATTCTTTATTTTTGGTGTGTTTTCTCAGCCAAGAAATTGCCGTTGATGTACTTGCGCGTGGCAAACCCCAAGGTGTTCTACATACGGACCAGTGAAGCCACTGATCAGTACGGCAGTGAAACGCTGACTCTCAATGTCAAGAACATGTTACATGGCAAGGTGAGTGTTGGCAAGACTCGAGAGATTTCAACCATCTTCTAAAAAACGTCTCAGAGGAAGACTTAGATTAAAGCCAGAGTCCAGCATTTGCAGCTATCCCAAAAGTAACTGGCGTAATTATTGTTGAAAAACATACTTGGTTGAAAGAAAGATAAACTCCCTGTGAATTTATTCTTTCTGGCAAGCTGTCATTTTGAAGAAATCAACGAAAGAAGGCCTTTCCAACGGTGCGTCTTAAGTACCTTTGGAAATTTCCGTTAGTTGTTCGTATTTTTTTTCAGCGAAGCGCGCGCAAGCGTTGACACGATGCACGCGCGCGCGCAGTTGCTACAATTCGTCGGATCGGTGCGCGACATCGCGTAGCTGCAATCGGCTCAGTGAGAGCGTGTCTCGGACGCTGAATTCAGGCCCAGTTCAAAACATGATTCATTAAAGATGTCATTAAAGATGTCATTCATGATATAAGATGAAAATTACATTTTGACAAAATGTTCACCCTCTCAATGTTAAGCGGGCCATAACACAATAATGCTCAGCATGGCTTAATGCCCCTTTTTGTTTTGCAAGGCTCTAGCGTCGGCGCGGAAACACGTACCGCCATTGTTTTTATACCATTATAAAGCTTGGAATCTGAACTTTATCCCTGGTTAGTATTGGTTTGATATTTAAAAGACTTTTAAATTGATTCATGTTCAAATAAAGGCATGTCGAAAAAAATCAAAAAGGAAAATCGATGATGCGGTGCATCAGATGCAAACTCGAGTCACACTTTGTGCGTACTTTTTGAATAGTACATACTTGCACGTGAATTTCAAAATTGAACTTGAAACAAACAACAATATTGTCTATTCATTTAAGGTGTAGCCTACATGTACGTGGATCAAAAAGAATAGGAAACACAGAAAGTAAAAGGCAACGAGATTGTGGGCTTTTGAAATCTTGGCTTCTTCCTATTAGCGGTGGCTTTAAGAGATTTGTATACTTGACTCAGGGGAGTCTGGCTCAAAAATGTGTAATGCTTCAGCAACTCTGAATCCTGTAGGACCTGGCAATCTTTTTTTTTTGGTTTGTATTTCCATTTTCATAATTTGGCATATTCAAGGCTGAAATAATATTAAAGGTATAGTCCATCATTTGTAATTTGTGCATTTTGTTCGTTTGAAGCAACAAAAGTGCTCAAAATCTAAAGCAGGGTGCCGAACAATTAACCTGATGAAGTTTCAGCTCAGCTTCAGCTGTATATTTCGAGAAAAACAACATTCTAGGATCTCGATTTCAAATCAAAAGTTGCTGAATCATGTTTTGAATTGGGCCTGAATTCAGCGTCCGAGACATGTTCTAACTAGCCGATTGCAGCTACGCGATGTCGCGCACCGATCCGAAGATTTATAGCAACTGCGCGTGCGTGTGCATCGTGCCAGCGCTTGCGCGCGCTTCGCCGAATAAAAAAACGAACTACTAACAGAAATTTCCAACGGTGCTTCTTAAGACGCACCGTTGGAAAGGCCTTCTTTCGTTGATTTCTTCAAAAAGACAGCTTGCTAGAAAGAATAATTTCACAGGGAGTTTAGTCCTCTTACTATCTTTCAACTAAATATGTTTTTCAACAATAATTACGCCAGTTACTTTTTGGATAGCTGCAAATGATGGACTCGGGCTTTAATTAAGCCAAAAATGAAGCCGAACCGGAAAAAACTCAATGTTTCAAAATCCTTTTGTTTTGAAAAAAACACACCAGGGATCCTCCTCTGTGACCTTTAACCTCCCGGATGCGTCTCTGCTGTGCCCTCGGACGTCGTTCACGCTGACGTTTCAAGCCACCTGCCCATCCACCAAGCATCTCCACTATGTGTACCAACCCCAGCTCAGCCAGCAAGAGTTGTTGCACGGTAATCCCCTGGACGCAAAGGGCAAACCTATACTCATTGATATTCCCGTAAGTTGGCCGTGGTGTTTTTAAGCCATTAGTACGGTACCTTTACTACATTGTATGACATTGTATATTCGGTCTTGCCCTTCGCGGACGTGCTTCATTTACATCTCCCCAATTGCAAATTCCATCTTATATTAGTTTGTTTGTGGTATCCACTGCTACATGTACATCAGATTTGAACCAGCCACCCAACCCCAGCAAGCTCGGTGGTCGAGTGGTAAGACATCTGCACTAATAGGGCCCAATTTCACGGCCCTGCTTAACAGTTAGCAGAAAAGTTGTGCTTAACATAGCAGGAACATTGGCTATTCCTTAAGCACTATTTCGCAGCGTGGATGTGCTAATGGTCGCGCGTACATGGAGATTTCTATTGTTACGCCACTAAGTCATCTGTAAATTAAGCAATTCTGTCCTCTAGTAAGTGTGCCTTTTGCTGTGCTTATGCTTGCAGTCTCCATGAAATAGACGGGGATTCTGTTAGCAGAAAATCCTGTGCTTAGCAGCGCCATGAAATTGGGCCCAGGAGGTCATGGGTTTGAGTCTCAACAGAGTAAGCTTGTGAGGTTGTTCTTGCAAGCTCTCGGACAACACTAAATTATACAGTGTTTATAAAATACTTGGGCGAAGAGCAAAACCCAAATACCGGTACAAAATTTACTTCCTGACACAAATTCCATCTTATATAAAGTGTGTTTACATGTACATGTACATTGTATATAGGGAGTAACAGGGTGGTTTGGGATTGCACAGGGACTAGTGGTTTAAGCTGCTAATTTGTAAATGCATTTGTGATATGTGTTCTGTAAAAAAAACCCAGACACTTCTCTAGGGTTCCAGAGAATTACGCACACTTCCCAAAATTATTTTAAAATACTCACAACTCCCCAAGGTGTTAATTGAGACACACATTAAATTAAAGCTATTTCATCATCATCTTTCAAAGCAGACAATCAGTTAAGTACATGTACCAAACAAAAATTATTTGTAACAGTTCAGAAAGATGTTTATGTACAGTTGTAAAGGGAGGCAAAATATGTGCAGTAATGTTATAGTCATGTGGTATTCATTACAAATCGCTATTATCTGAAGTATGGTGTTCCATATGTGCCATCAGCGTCACATTTTTCAGCTCTGGCAGGGATCATGTTGATGGATTTCATGCAAGACTTTCATGCATGAAGGTCAGAGCTTATCCCCTTGCACTTGTTTTTAGTTTTCTGTCAACCCATGTGGACTCTTGTGTACAACTACACCCTCCGATATTCATTGTACAGAGTCCACTCAAAGACAGTGTTCCACATGACTGAACAATTATAAACGGCTGCCATTTGTGCCTTTTCACAGGTCAACTACCGACCCCCATCCCCGCTTGGCATCTCCATTCCCACCAGTAGAAACATCTACAACGCTGATCCTAGCAAACCAAGACCTAGGGACATCTATCAGATATCAAAGGTGAGCAAAAAAGCAAACTGCAGCTAAATGAGGTGTTAACCTTGTGCATTACTGTTTCCCCTCCCCCTCAGAGGTGAAAATGTAACAGAGTGCACATCTGAAGGAATAGTGAATGCTGTCTTGGTATGCACCATGCTGGTACATGTGGGGTGCTGTGGTCCAATGGTTACGGTGTTCGACTCGTGTGCCGTGGTACATGGGGTTGAATCCTGACCGTGGGAACATGGTGCTTGTGCTCTTGAACAAGGCACTTTACCATTATTGCTTCGTCCTTCAGATGGGACGTAAAGCTGTGCGTCCCGTGTGATGTGTTTTGCACGTTAAAGAACCAAGTAACACTTATAGCTAAAAGAAGAGGTTTGTCCCAGTGTTTCTGGCAGTGGCTGCAATATGCGCCGCAGCACCTTGTAAACACTTATACGGTGCTACATATAATGGGTCTCATATTTCTCATAAACTTCATTTACCTGTCTTTAATAACACAATTTCCAGCGTCTTAAGTACCTAATTGTTGGTAGATGTATGTACGCTATATAAGACTCCAGTATTACCATTACATGTGTATGCATGTACCTGAAATTTTAGATTTCTTTTCCTGTCTTTGATTGTCGCTTTCGAAATACGCAATTTCTTGTTTAAATGTTTCAATGTCATAATTATTTCAATATTTTTGTTTTATCTCCTACATCACGCTTTTGCTAATTTTTGATTTGTTTCTTTTTTGGCAACATCCATTTTAATATTTGATTCCATTTCATAATTCTCCTTATATCCTTGTCTATTCTTCATCCGTTTGTTACCGTTTCATGATCCCCTTGATGTTGTTCCTTTCAGGACACTGGCGTCTACAAGCAGTGTCTAGACAAAGCCAATCGTTCAGAGTGTGGCTGCACTGATGCTATGAAGATGTCGTCGCTGCAGAGAAATACTGACTGCAGAGAAAGGGTAAACTCACAAGAGACTGGAGTTGTAGTTGTAGTTGTAGGCCATCATAAGTCAAACCACAAATTCAGTCACAAGTCAGTCACAATTAAGCAAGGTCGAACGTAACAGGGAATGGAACAAGGGCAAAAGAACAACCGGATAACGGACAGAAAAGCATACGCAGCATGTTACTGTGCGCACAATGTGTGCGTACACAGCGCGACGTGTGCCACATATACCAAGGGTCAATGATCTGATACACCTTACCCTCTGGAGACGTGTGTACAATAGGGAACAAAAGATTGTAAACGTCTCCACAGGGCAATTTCTATAGATGAATACGTCTCCACAAGGTTTTCACGAAATAGATATATGGATTTTACTCAAAAACTAGGAATTTCCAAGGTGGGTTGATCTGTCGCAAATGGAAGAGTTTTAGAAAAGGATATTAAGTCCGAATTTCAGCCAAGGAAATTAATTCTGGTTAAAATAAGAGCATTTTGAAACTTCACTTTCAAACTCGAAAACTTTACTACACAAGAACAAAGAAATGTCTCCACAAGGATACAAATTTCAGTATGGGTGGACGCGTATATGTGGCACACGTTGCGTACATGTGGCACACATATCTGATGATTTTTATCAATTATTTGAATTACCAAAAAGCAATTTAAGTCAAATGCGTCAGGTTTTAGTGTCATAAAGAAATTGCAACGTTCAATTTTCATTTGAGATGTGTCTGACGGAGTCTGTTCTCGCTGCAAAGATCTCCTGAAGACCTTTTCAAGATCCAGCTTCCCATGAGATATTTGAACTTACTCAAAACTCTTACTTTGACGTAAAAAACAACCCCACTTTTGTTAGCAGTCAGGGCACAGACAACCCATTATATAAGCATTTGTTTATCTTGGGAAAAGTTCCTGACGATACACAATAAAAGTTTGCTTAAATACACAATGTGGGTTCCACAAAAGATGATTTGGGATAATGTTTTTTTATTTAACGATTTATGGCTGACAGTGCTCTGAGTAATTGAACAACAAACGTGGGGTGTATATATTAGTTATAACAAAATGTCAGGTACATGTAAAGAAGCCAGTATATACTCATAAAAATTTGCTCAAATACACAATGTGGGCTCCACAAAAGAGTATTAGGGATAGTGTTTTTTTATTTAACGATTTATGGCTGACAGTGCTCTGAATAATTGAACAACAAACTTGGGGTGTAGTTCTAACAAAATGTCAGGTAAAGAAGAGATCGTAATAGTAGCATTCTACTGCACTGAGGGACAAACGTTGGCTTAAATTCAAAATGTGTTCCTTTCCATTGGCATTTTGTGTTTTGCATTTAGGCCTACAGATTGGTTCATCCTGGCAAGCTGTCCATGAGGTTCCAGATCTTAGAAGCAGAGAAAGAACCAATTGAGCTAGTGGAACCTTACGTCATTACAGTGAAAGAGATCAACGGACGGCAGGACTATAGTGTGGAAGGTAGGCGTGGTTTGTTTGGGAGGGGCTTGGTAATGGGTGGGTCTTGGTAAGGGGAGGGGCTTAGTATTGAGCAGGACTTGGCAATAGTGGGTGGGACTTGGTGAGGGAGGTGAAGGGGAGGGGCTTAGTATTGGGCAGGACTTGGCAATAGTGGGTGGGACTTGGTGAAGGAGGTGAAGGGGAGGGGCTTAGTATTGGGCAGGACTTGGCAATAGTGGGTGGGACTTGGTGAGGGAGGTGCTAGTCCTGCAGGAGATTAATAAAGGACTGTATTAAAATGTAAGTATGTCTGGGGAGGGGCTTTGTAGGGGCAGGCTATGTAGAGGGAGGGGCTTGTCCTGATTAATGGCACGTCGGGACATTTTTCATACCTGGAAACTTACCGTCAGTTTAATGGAAAAAAGTCTTGCACAAAACATAGGACCGGATACCCTTTGAAATTATTGTGCCTGAAATGGTATCATTTGTAAGTGATCAATCACTGAAGGTGTTTTAACCATTCCGCGCCGGAGGCCATGTATGCGCAAAAATTTTGCGGTATTCGAAACGGTGGACAGATAAATACGCAGGGAGTGAGGCCGGAAATATCTGTCAGTGACCCGCTCGCAGTGAGTGAGGCTGGAAATATGAGTGTGCTGCCCGAGGGTGATGGCTTCAACCCGCCTGGCATGAGGTCGTGTGAAAAGTAATCCCGCACCTTGTTCCATTCTTGTCAAAATAATCCTGGTGTGAACTGGTTAAGAAAATGTGCCCGTTGGCACAGTTTTTGACGTGCGTTAACAGAATCCAGCCACAAGACCAAAAAAAATTGTGCATACGTTTTCTCTGTTTTCTAAAAGTTTTATTGTATCCACGGAGCTGAAACAACAACAAGTTAGTTGTTAATTAATGTATGCACCCTTCTTAAGATATTGAGATATTTTGTTGCTTCAAACGAAACAAATGCACAAAAAGCAAATGTTCCCATGCACTTTTAATGGATGCCAGGATGTCAGGTCTGTGTTTGTGAGTGGAGGGGCCTGGTAGGGGGAGGGCTTGTCCAGCAGGAGACGTGGTGTTGAATGGAGTTAAGTTCTGTGTTAAAGATATAGTCCATCATTTTTAATTTGTGCATTTTGTTCGTTTGAAGCAACAAAAGTGTTCAAAATCTAATGAAGGATACTGAACAACTAACCTGATGAAGTTTCAGCTCAGCTTCAGCTGTATATTCCGAGAAAAACAGCATTCTAGGATCTCAATTTCAAATCAAAAGTTGCTGAATCATGTTTTAAATTGGGCCTGAATTCAGCATCCGAGACACGTTCTCACTGAGCCGATTGCAACTATACGCGATGTCGCGCACTGATCCGACGAATTATAGCAACCGCACGCGCGTGTGCGTCGAGCCAATGCTTGCGCGCGCTTCGCCGAATAACAAAACGAACTACTAATTTAAATTTTCCTACGGTGCGTTTTAAGACGCACCGTTGGAAAGGCCTTCTTTCGTTGATTACTTCAAAATGACAGCTTGCCAGAAAGAATAATTTCACAGGGAGTTTAGTCCACTTACTATCTTTCAACCAAGTATGTTTTTCAACAATAATTACGCCAGTTACTTTTCGGATGGCTGCAAATGATGGGCTATAGCTTTAACATGTTTAAGTGAAGGGAAATTCATCTGTTGAACATTTTTCTCAAAATCACTCGAGACAACACCGAGTATAAATACAGTGTTTATGAAATACATGTACATCGGTGAAGGGCAAAATCCCCAATATTAAATTTGCATCACCCTGACGCAAAACTCCTTCGTATGAGTAGTTTGGTTGCAGTACCCTCTGCTATATCAGATTCCAACTCACTAGCTGACCCCGGCAAGCTAGGTGGTTGAGTTGTGAGACGTCTGCACTGGTAAGCAGGAGGTCGTGGATTTGAGTCCCACCTAAAAACAACTGATTTTTTTCTCACAATCACTCGGGACAACGCTGAGTAAACAGTGTTCTTAAGATACGTCGGTGAAGGCAAAACCCAATATTGAATATATCATTAAAAGAAATTAAATTAGGATTTAATTTTGCCCTTCACCGACGTTTAAACACTGTAGTATACTCAGTGTGTTACCTCCCGAGTGAAAGTTGGGAAAAATCACTCGGGTGGGACTCAAACCCACGACCTCCTGCTTTCTAGTGCAGATGTCTTACCACTCGACCACCGAGCAAACGGGATCGGTTGGCCGGTTCAAATCTGATGTACATAGCAGCGGGTACCGCATAAGATGGAATTTTGATTTATATCACCCCGGCGCAAACAAATTCCATCTTATAATAATTAGAAGAAATTGTTGTGTTGATCTCAGTGATACTGTTTACTTTCAGACGAATCTACCCCCAGTTTGGACAAGATGAAGGAGTTATTAACTGAACAAATCGGCAACACAAGCAGGTTGATCAACCCAGCCACTGTTCGGCTCATACTCACGGTGAGTGTATCTTCTTATATCCTCCTCCTATTTCTGTCAGTGGTGTTAATGCTTATCAGGTAATTGATATACGTACACTACATGTACCGGTAATCAATGTCTGATGAATTGATTTTAACAGATTTCATTATACCGGTAGGTGTGTAGATTTGTTCATCTTTGGCAATCATATGAATCTTTGAAAGAAAACATATTCTTATAATTAACATGATGCTTTTTTTCTTTATTTTGCAGGGTTCAGGATTGTATCACTTCAGAGCGTCTGTTATCCGAGGTTTTAGCTACTGCAATCTTGAAGATGAAGTGCAGGTAATTAAGACAATACCTTAGATATTGTAGTCACCGGTTCAAATTGTGTGTATTGTTCATCAGATGCGCACCGTTATGGTGTTCTGGAGGTTCAATTTCTGTCCAAATTGATTGTTGCTGCATTGGTCAAGCACCAGACTGGAATTGTCAAGGTCACAAGTTTGAATCCTGTCCATCTCAATTGTTCTCCATTGGTGGAGCACTGATAGGGCTATTGCATTGCATACATATAGGTTAGAGGTTCAAATCCTGTCCAAATTAATTGTTGCTGGAATTCTCTTGAATGAACAATTTTTGGAAGATGAAATAATACTTAATCAGAAAATATGCTGGATTCGGTTGGTTCTGGCTGGAAAAAAATATTTTCTCGCGTGATTTTTTTTTTTCGCACGATGCAGTTTTGATCGATTCATTACTGATTGAACCGATCCGGAACTAGGAAAAGTGGCATCGGTACTTTTGACGTCGTCAAGTCAAAATAGAAAGAGCTTAAATTTTGAAAATTAGTTTGTGGTATCTCCATCACTCAAGGTAAACTTTTTAACCAATGTCACTTGAATTTGTGGAGTATAGTTGAGCCGAAAGCAACCTGAATGATGTTGGCTATCCGGAACTAGGAAAACGACTGTAGTATACATACCGGTACTTAAAATATTGCAAATTGACGACTATAACAAAATGAAAAAATGTTGACCTCATACAACTTCCTTTTAATCGATCACACACGTGACTAGACTAGTCAGTGTTTGGTACCAAGAAGTTCACATGTAAAGCCAACGTGAACAGGCGAAACTTGCATGCGCTATCGCTGCTCAATTTGTAGAGAGCTGGCACTCTGAATGCCACTTCAAATCTTGATCCTATTTTGTCCTTCCATCACAGCTCCGGTATGATACTGAAGGTTACAAGTTGTTCCTTTCCAATTTCCTTTTTATTCCATCTTTTGCAGGTATATGTTGACAAGGCCCCCTTACCCAACCCGACCCAGATGATTGTCATCACTGTCATCAGTGTGGTGATTGGTGGAGTACTGTTCTCGGTTTATCTCTATTATCTTCACTCGCATCATCAGCCACGCATCAGGAAGACTGGCTCACAGTGCATGGATCCACAAAAACAACGGGAACAAAGGAAGTAGTGGTAGATGACACGGAATCATCAGGAAAACTGGCTCACAGTGCATGGATCCACAGGAACAAAGGGAACAAAGGAAGTAGTGGTAGATGACACGGAATCATCAGGAAAACTGGCTCACAGTGCATGGATCCACAGGAACAACGGGAAAAAGGAAGTAGTGGTAGATGACGGGCACGGAATCATCAGGAAAACTGGCTCACAGTGCATGGATCCACAGGAACAACGGGAAAAAGGAAGTAGTGGTAGATGACGGGCATGGAATCATCAGGAAGACTGGCTCACAGTGCATGGATCCACAGGAACAACGGGAACAAAGGACGTAGTGGTACATATGATTTGCAAGAATCACAGAATCATCAGGAAGACTAGCTCATAGTGCTCGTATCCACAAGAACAATGGAAACCAATGAAGTAGTGGTAGTGGACCAAGCTTTGTTCAGATCAGGGTCATATTAGCCTTTTTGAGATATGGGAGACAAAAGTAATGGTCGACAAATTAATGGGCGCTATTTTGTTTGGGTAATTTTGGGATCGCAGGATTGTAATATTGATTTGGTCCAGCTGAATATGTAGGCATATTCACAAAGTTTCGAGTTCTAAAAATATGTGGAGGTCAAATAGGGAGAGGGCGTGAATTTTCAATATTTGCATTTAGCAGACGGAGTTCCACCTGGTATTAAGACCTGTGGCTGTGTATTGATCAGCTGCATTATTTTGAGCTGGAGATGTTGCGAAAGCAAGTGATAAAGCAGAGTAGTTTTGGAAATATTCAAAATGTGCTTGGTATCCGCTCCGTTCACAAGTACCCCCTCACTGGCAAAGGAAGTACAGTTGGGGGTGACCGACCGACGCCATCTTGCCTGACTGCAATTCATTTGCCGCGAAGCGCGGCCACTGCGTGTAAATCCCCTGGTGTACGTGCGCCACATACAAGGAACGGTGCACGTCAACCAGCGAAATGTCCCGCCCATGGGACGTCATTGCTAGGTAAAAGGGCGCCCTCTTCGTCGGCGCACAGAGCCCATAGTAAATTTAACATCTCTAGAATTGGGAGTTACATTTAGCATTTCCAGTCAAGTTTTGAAATTGGTTGTTGAAAATGTTGTTTAAAACTGCCACAAATTTTATGATTTTTTTTTAGTTATTTCATTTTTATGTTTCAATTTTAGTCTGAGCTATACAATCAGGTCCTGAAAAGCTCTTAAAAACACCAAAATGGTTTTTAGCCCCCAATTTTATTGTTTCGGCCAAGTGGATTCTCTCTACAAACTTAATGAGTGTATGTCTACAGTCACCAACCATGTTACATGTGCATGTAGGGGGTACTGCACGCATGCCATCACGTATTCGAAAATAGGGAACATTTGTATTTTTAATTGGTGCAATCAGCACAGTACTGTTACTCAGTTCTAAACCTTTACAGGTACTTTACTATCTAAAGTATTTCTTGCCCGAATCTTGCAATTTCATATTTTATTGTTATGAAGTTAAAAGTTAACTTTCCAGTTGTGCAATTTTCAGTAAATATTTGATTAAACCAAAGTGTTAGTTCTATTAAAAGATATTTATGTACACGTGTATTAAGTATTTCCTGTGGCTATGCAATACTGAACTATAATGTGTAGCTCTTTGTTTTGATGATTTACAACAGACTCTAGTGCTTAGGGAACGTCTCAAAAGTCGGAATGCTTGGAACGTTCCATCGGGGAACATCATCTGTTCCAGTGCGAGACTTTTGAGACGTTGGTGGCAGCAAATGCACCGGTCCTTTTCAGTTGTTTACGTCATGTTAAAGCTAAAGCGCGCAAGCTCAATATGACACAAACAATGGAGAAAGGACTGGTGTGTTTGCTGCCACCAATAACGGTCTCAAAAGTCTCCCATTGGAAACAGACCGGGAACGCTACATGCAGGCATTTCCGTGTGGGAATGTTGGTCTACTGGTATATGGGGGTAGTACATGTATTCCAGAACACAAACGTTTGGACTTCTGAGATGCTCCTTACAAACTCCTATGATAAAGTCTCAATTGTGTGTTTCCTCACCAGGATTGTGCCAAAATTCACGTTATAAAAAAGCTGTTTACATTGTTAATTGACAAAGTTAATTGAAATGTTTTATTGTTCCATCTTGTTAAAACCGGTGCTTTCATTTTTTTAATCTTGTTAGATTTCTATTTTGTATATGAAGAATGTATTTTGAAAAAGAATAAATCAGGAAATTCACATTTGTGTTTTTTTTTTTTTTTACCAACCACACTAGTATTGACTTTGTTACATGTTACCTACATGTACACTAAAAGTGCCATTTACATTGTTAGTTGACAAAGTTAATTGAAATAATTTATTGTTCCATTTTGTTAAAACCGGTGCTTTCATTGTTTGAATCTTGTTAGATTTCTATTTTGTATATGAAGAATGTTATTTTGAAAAAGAATAAATCAGGAAATTCACATTTGTTTTGCTTTTTTTCCTTTTTACCAACCACGCTATATTGACTTTGTTGTTATATGTTACCTACACTTTTTAAAGACCTTCCAAGGTTAAATTTGTCTGTTTTTCTTATTATTCGCATTCAATTTTGAGAACATCAGGCTTCCACAAATTTCCAATATTTATTAAACACAATTATGGATTTCATACTTCACCATTCACACTTTCATTGGAAGACAAGCGAAGACAAGCACATTACATGTATATATTCATATTCAAAATGCAAAACTTTTAACACTCCTCACTGCGTTCTTAGTTTCAAAATCTGCCATTTTATTTCAAATTGAAAGCAATATATATACAAGCTCAGCAATTTTTCCAACGTGTAAAAGGAAAACAATTGTACATACTTGTAAAAACAGCTCTTGCAAGGTCATTAACATGCAGACCAGAAAAAAAGAAGAAATTTTCTTAAGAAATTTCAATTCACTCTGAAACAAAACCAATGATTTGTTTAACAATGAAACAAACTTGTTGCTAAGTATGAAGAGTCTGTCATTTGAAACTATACATGTTAGTGGTTCTTGTAATCTTAAAGAGGCATTCCCCTTGCGATTTTCTTGTCTAAAAAAAAATCAGGTTCGTGTTTTCAACTGCTTTATTTCCTAGCAATATAAAAGTTATCCATGTTTAGATGAGCCATTGAACAAAAAAAAATCCCCTGATGTTTACTTGTTCAATTATTGTTGTATTTCTTCACAAAATTTGAATTATTGGCTACCAGAAAATAAGTTGGCTCTCACAGGGCCGGTTATTTGTGCAGAAAATTAAAAAGCCCTCGTTACCTCCTTCCCAAAATTCCTTCAATACCCAATTGCAAATGTACATATACATATGTAAACAGGCATTGAAAGTTATTTGGGAGGGAGGTACCGTTAGGGTATACATACAAACATGTACATGTAAATAGAGTCTAGATGACAATTGATGATGAGGATACCAGTACCAAACACATCACAGGGGGCATACTTGATTGTTTGTCGCGAACACTCATAGATTTTCAATACACACCATCCCACTACAATTTAGAACGTTAAAGCTATAGTCCATCATTTGCAGCCATCCGAAAAGTAACTGGCGTAATTATTGTTAAAAAACAAACTTGGTTGAAAGATAGTAAGGGAACTAAACTCCCTGTGAAATTATTCTTTCTGGGAAGCTGTCATTTTGAAGTCTTAAGACGCACCGTAGGAACATTTAAATTAGTAGTTCGTTTTGTTATTCGGCGAAGTGCGCGCAAGCATTGGCACGACGCACACGCGTGCGTGGCTGCTATAATTTGTCGGATCAGGGCGAGACGTCCCGTATAGCTGCAATTCAAAACAATTCAAAACATGATTCAGTAACTTTTGATTTGAAATTTAGATCCTAGAATGCTGTTTTTCTCGGAATATACAGCTGAAGCTTAGCTGAGACTTCATCAGGTTAGTTGTTCGGTATCCTTCATTAGATTTTGAACACTTTTGTTGCTTCAAACATGTCAAACGAACAAAATGCACAAATTACAAATGATGGACTATATCTTTAAAGCACCCCAAACCTTCTGACGGTTAAATACATGAACACCACCGTACACGACATGCATACATGTACTTTGTAGCAACGGTACATTGAAAAAGGCTGCAGCCTAGGCAGTCACACAATTACAATTCAAACATGCAGTACGCAGCTGTGAATAGTACGTACATGTAACAGGGCAGGAATTAATGGATTGGTCTATTCTGGGTAAAGGTAAATTAATTTCTGTTCCTGTGCAATGAAAAAAAAAAAAATTCTGTGCGAATATTCACGGTGCAGTAATCGCGGATCTTTTCAGACTAAGACTTCCGCGATTACTACACGGACAACTGGAGGAAAGCCACAATTTCAGATGCTTTGAATTTATTACCGTGGTATTACAAAAAAAATTGTTGCCTGCTGTGATTGGGGTCCATGGGTTTTGTACACCCTCTGGTGCAAATGGCACCCGAGCGCACCCTCGGGTGTACAAAACACCATGGACCCCATTGCAACAGGCAACAATTGTATTTATAATGTATTATGTGTTGCATTTTCTGCGGGTTCATGCACAACATGCAATTTACAACATACATGCAATTTACAACATTACGGAATCCATGCATGATTAGCCTTTCACCAAGGCCATCGTGGCTTAACTTTCCTGCATTAGACAAAGCAGCCAAAAAACTATGAATAATTCAACAAAATCAAGTTGCGAAAGGCCTCGTGGCTTTGCCACTCGTGCATGCTGACTTAATCTTTGCTCCAGTCGCTTCGGGTCTTCGCAACTCTGCCGCTCTACATGTAAGTCACGATGGCCTAGGCGAAAGGCTAATGCATGATTTGTAAATATGCCACTGTGTGGCTACGTACTCAAGAACCCTCTATCTAGTGTGCAGGACATCCCATTCAAAATGCATTTGAATGTGCCACAATCCCATAGTGCATCAATAATCAAATGATGCACCACCCTAGAAAACTATACAGGGCGAGTCAAAAAAGGAAACCCAAATGCCAGGACCATTTTTGCAATGAAGTTCTGCATGTAGCACTTTCAAAATCTGGGATATGAAAGCCCAATTTATAAGCTTTCTTTTATAACATGAATATTATTCAAATCACTCATTGTACTTCTTAAGTTAGGCCACACACAAAAAATAGTTGATGCGGCGACGCAGGTTTTTTTTTTTTTTTTTTTTTTTTCCAAGCTTGTACCGGTATTGTACAGACAAGGTGGGTACTATTTTGCTTTTTTTGTGTCCTCATTATACATTGGTGTCCTCCATAATTTGCCTTGGTGCCCTTTATCATTTGCCTTGGTGCAATTTCCCCATTCCTTGGTGCTCCTTGGTACAAAAATTTGAGGAGGCGCGGCAATAGAGGTTGTAGCTTTCGTGCTTATTTGAAAAAAAAGGTTGACACGCATGATTAAAATCGACGCGCGCGCTGACCAGAGACCGAGTATTTTTTTGGGGGGGGGCCTTACAGAATTTTAAACACAAACACCATTTTGAAGTTCTGTCCATGGATCACAAAAAAAAGGTACAGTATGAAGTGTCATTCAGCAAAAAGAATTCACATACATTCCTATGTGAATTGTTTACATTTTGCTTCTGCTTCTGCTCCTATATTGTACACAATGCCCTGTTGGACTATCTCGGTACGCTGGTGAAAGAACACTTTCCTTGTTTTGTGGTCCGTGGATAGAACTTTAAAACGGTGGTTGCGTTTAAAATTCCGTAACTTGAAAATACAGGAGTGATTTGAATGATTCATGTACTAAAGGAAAGCCTATACATTATGCTTTCGTATCTTAGATTTTCATTGTGCTACATGCAGAACTTCATTTAAAACAATGGTCCTGCTGTTTAAGTTTCCTTTTTGTTTTTACTTACCCTGTATACATGTAACTCTTGGAAAAATAATCATTTCATAGGCTCCTCCACCCACACTGAAAAGATCCCAGATCGTAAGTTTGTCAAAACCTTTGATTTTTAGTTTCCCCATGCTGAATGAAGTCTCGTGCATGAAGTCAAGCGATTTTTTTGTTTTTTGGGGGTGGGGTTTTTTGGTGGAGGGGGGGGGGGGGGGGTGTGTCATTTTGGAAAGCAGGTTAGGGAAGCGTAAATACATGAACAGTCCTGTTTGCTTTGTTTTTTTCACTGAACCATGTCAGTGGAATCCTGATGTGGCTGTTCATCACCTCCTACCGGTAGCATGACTACCTGCATGGCAACATTCTCGCTGGTGTTGCACGTACCGGTATCTTGGACTTGCTGAACAGTGATCTGCACTTTGGATTCAAAGGCTTCGTTATCTTTAGAATAATCGTGTTCCTTTGGAGCGTTTTTGTCATCTTTCTCCTCTGCTACCTCTGTGTGATTCCTTACTTGCCTCCTCCGGATGGTAGACTGTGGCTTCCATGTTGCATCTTTTTCCTCCAAGTCTTCTTCCTCCTCAATTTCTTCTTCCTCATCTTCCTCTTGGTCACCACTCTCTTCGTCTTCCTCGCCTTTAGCTTCGTCACCCTCTTCCTCCGCTTCTTCATCTTCCTCACTGGTAGATCCGGGAAGTTCCTCGACTGGTACCTTCCGAGGTCGTCCCCTTTTTCTTGGCATTCCTTTCCTCCGACTCTGTCTTCCTGATGCCAGTTTTGCGGCAGACGGTGGTCTACCTCTACCTCTCGCGTGTTGAGCCTTTGCCTTGTGTTGCCACAGGAGATTCACAGTCGTGGCCCGGGCATCCTCAGCTTCTGTCAATGCTTCCCGCAACATGTAGAACAACACATCAATCTTGTCCTCTCTTTCTTGCTTGCAGGTCTTGTCAAGAAACTCCACCATGTCCTTAACCCGTGAAGTCGCTAATTTACAGGTGACATAGCGCAGTGACCTCCTCTTGCGAGGTGCTGATGGCTTCCGCTGAACCTCTTGATGTTCCTCCTTCTCCTCCTTCTCCTCCTCTTCTTCCTCCTCACTGGAATTGGAACTGTCATTTCTGTCATTGTAAGGGCAGTCCTTCTCATGCCCATTGATCTCAAAGGGGTTGAGCTTCGCCTCGCATCCTTTGCTGGCAAACGAGCAAGGGGCATCCAGGAGCATATACAGATGATTCAGCTGCTCGGATGCATCTGACAGCTCCACAATCACCTCCTCACATTTGGGGCAGACGTTGCCAAAATTTAGCCAGTCGCTGATGCAAGCCTCACAGAAGATGTGCTTACACTCTGTGCTGACTGGTTTCAAGGGCAGTCGTTTGCAAAGAGAGCATGTCAGGAACGCGTAGGCAAAGTTCTTCTGATTGAAGCGGTTGATGTCGATGCTCTGTCTTGCCTTCTCCCCCTTGATGTTGCGTGCTTTGAATCGGCGAATCATGTTCAGGTAGACATATTTAGTAAAGCCATCTTGTTCAGGCTCATCGATCATTTCCTCTGAGTCAGCAACCAGAGTCTCATCAGCAATAGCTCCCTGGATAGCTTGCAGGAGAACATTAGCTCTAACAGTGTCCTGTTCTGATAACTCATCAGAGTTCCCTTTCTTGGAGCCCGTGCCATCTTCGGTGTCCTTCTCTCCCTCACTATGGGCAATGGATTGGTCATTGTCATGTCTTGCTATCTTGGCCTGTGATGCAGAATCCCCAGTGTCAATGGACAATTTTCTCTTGGGAAGCAAGCCCGATGCCCGGTCGCAGACAAAGCACATGTCACTGTGCTTATAAAATGTGTACAATTCGGGTAACGGTGGTTTCTTTGACTTGGGGGACTTCTTGAGGTACTGCTGCAGGACCAGGCGGCATTTCTGGCAAACCATCTGGGGGTGGACCGCAGGGTCATCCTCGCTGAGGTAGATGCCATACAGCAACTCCAGCAATTCGGCGTAGTTGTCCAAGCAGTACTGAAGCTTCTCTCCTGCCTGGCCACAGACACGACACAATGTCCACAGCTTGAAGATGTGCCTCTCCTCCGCTTCAATTTTGTTGAAGTCCATTTCTGCCTGAGGCCGCTGGCGCTAACGCTCTGTAGACCAAACACAACCATACATTGTATTTAATTTGATTGATTTTTTATTTACTTTAAAGGGAAAATACAACATTTGCATACATCAAAAAATAAAACTACCAAATCATTTTGAAATACCTTGCTGGACTGTTAGTGAATGACAGTGTAAAGCATCCTGTAAAATCATGGCACCTGGTATACTGTCATTTTCAAGAAAAGTGGTATTTTTGTATCAATTTCCAACGCTAGTCGGCCAACCAGCGTTGGAAAAAACTGGGTTTTTTTCAAAGACTGGCCCCAATTGACCATCGCACTTGTTTGCAATCGATTACACACCTATGAACGGGTACAAGCCAGCTAGACTGGTTCCCTGACCTTACAATTCCCCAATGTATGTAAACTGCTCTGTTTCTTCTTATATGGAGTCAGGGAACCAGACTACAGGAAAACGATTGTTTTTCTTGGTTTTTATAGCATTTTTGAACCCAAAACCTCAATAAAGTCAGTATTTAACTATATTTGCTATATATTTCCAACCCCCCAATTCCTTCCATTTCTGAAAATTACAGCAAAAGCAAATGATGTATATATATTCCCTTTAAACACAAATTATTAAAAGACAACTTTTTCTACCAGGTACTTACGGTACTTGCTTCACCAAGTACTACGTCAGAGACGTACATTTGTAAAGTCAATCACAATTCATCAAGTTCTAAAGTTATTTGAAAAATAAAATTATTCAAACTGAGACAGAGGCGTTCCTTTGTTACATACTGTACAACCCTTTGTCAGTTGTGATACAGTTCTGTTTTCTCGAAAATTGTAACATCAACTGAGTTGAAACTTCAACAGGTTAGGTTTAGAACAGTCTTCTTTGGATTTTGAGTGGTGTTACTATTGGAAACGAACAAAATGCATGATGATCCTACATCCTTTAAGCTATTCTCTCTATCCAATTTTCACACTGAAAAAAAAAATGGATTTTGTTTTTGAATCTTTGGTACATTTTCATGTTTGTACAATGCTTTGATAGCCTTTAAATATTAAAGTTTTATGTTGGATTTATTTGCACTTTAAAAGTGCAAATAAATACCCACCTCACTCCTCCAAAATCCTCCTGGCGGTTTTGGAGGATTCTAGAGGATTGAGGATGAATGGTGATTGAATCAAATGAGGATTCTGGAGGATTGAGGATGAATGGTGATTGAAGCACATGAGGATTTTGGAGGATTGAGGATGAATGGTGAATGAAGCACAAGAGGATTTTGGATGATTGATTTTGTTTTTGAATTTTTGGTACATTTTCATGTTCATACAAAGCTTTGATAGCCTTTAAATATTAAAGTTTTATGGTGGATTTATTTAATAATTAATAAATAGCAGGCAGTCATAAAGTAAAACTGTCTGATGATTTTGAAGGATTTGGTGTTGGTTATCCTTCATTTAAACACGAGTGCAAAGTTTTGGGATGAGGAGGATTTTGGAGGATTGAGGATGAATGCATTTTGAGGCAGGACTGTATGACAATTTTGAAAAATTTAGGCGGAGTTGAAAAATTTTGGAGGATTTTGGAGGATTGAGGATGGTTGTAAGCAACAAGGGCCTAGGGGGTTAGGGTTAAAGCTTTTTGAAGCATGTTAAGAGGTACATGTAGCCTACACGCACACAATGTACGGTGCTCCCAAAATTGTACAAGCAGTTTTTACATCAAAATAAAACATTCAGAATGGAGAATTCATTACAAATAAGTAAGTAAAAAAATACAGCCTTTTCTCATCCCTGCTCGCATCCTCTTTTTAGTCCTTTTGGACACAATATAGCAAGATGAGAAAACGGAAGAATCCATCCTATTCCTAAGGACGTGACGTTTACACGTTTAACATGTTTAAACAGAAAGAAATCTACATCTGTTAACAGATTTTCCACACCGTTCAATCGTAACCCATAACCGATCTTCCTTTAAGTTATGAACAAACATTGCACAAATAATTAACCAATTTAATTTACAAAACCTCTAAACACCACAGTTACTTGATTACATTCAGAGTGCACAGGTCTACCTTTTTACTTTATGACTGCCTGCTATTTATTAATTATTAATTTTGATTTTTCATGCCAATCACTCCAGTTTGCAGACATACCCGGTACAGTGTAATGTGGGCAGGTACGTAACGTATCAGCATTTGGGAAATAGCAAACATTTAAACAGTTTATAAAATAGTTGCTAAATGTTTAGAAAATTAAACACAAAGTCACATCCTTCATCCATACTTCACGTTGGAAAATCCACCATCTTGGAACAAGAAAGGGAAAAAATACTGCAAGTGAGACTTGCGCAATTCCCCCTGGCATGTTGGCAGTTTTTATAAAGCCAGTTTCCTTAACCAAAATGGAAGATTTCTATTGTTTTAGCAATAGCGACCTTGACCTTTGACCTGTCGGCCCCAAAATCAATCTAGGCTTGATAAGATGACCAAGAGCAACCCCACAAACCAAATTTGAAGTTCCTAAGTAAAGTATTTCTCAAGCATTCGTGCTGACAATATTTCTATTGTTTTAGCAGTAATTCAAATTTATTATAATGACCTTGACCTTTGACATGTCAGCCCCAAAAGCATCATGCTTCTTAAAACTATCAAGAACAATCCACAAACCAAATTTTAAGTTCCGAAGTAAAGTATTTCTCAAGTAACCACGTTGACAAGATTTCTATTGTTTTAGCAATATCGTGACCTTGACCTTTGGGCTGTCAGCCCTTAAAGCAATAGGCTTCTTAAGACTACCAAGAACAACCCACAAACCAAAATGTACCTGAAAATGTAGAACTTTATTAAGTTTTGATTTTTTACATTTAGACTTTGTTTGTAGTTTATTTAAGCTTCGAAGCACATGCACTCACCCTCTTTAAAGCGATAGAAAATTAGTCCTCCTTTTTCAGACGTTAAGGCCTATATTTCGTGTTATTTCCCTGGGGGTTCATTTGCACACGTTAGCGTATCTAAATTCCAACACGAAATTACACGAAAAAAAAAACGTCTGAAAAAGGGGGGACTAATTTTCTATCGCGCTAAAAATTCAAGGGTAATCCTTATCTTTAGGACACCTCTATTTTTACGAGTTCTGTTCAAAACTGACTTTTGCAGATGACCGTCCAGTACCAAAGTGACTTTTGCAGGCTGAAGCACTCTTTTTTCTTCAGATAAACTCATGGTAGTTGTAATTTTGAAAGCACTTTTAAAGAAACTGTGACTTTCCTACCGTATTTTGCAGTTTGCCATCTTGGTTTTTTAATATATTTTCTGTTTGTCATCGTCGTCTTTAACCCCTCATTAATCAAAGTCCTGCCCTCTTTCTACAAAATTAGGTTTAGTGATATTCAAGAAAGTGTCACTGCCAACTGTTCAAATGTGTCAAGAAATATCAGAATGTCACTTTTGAGTGTCATTAGTCAGCTGTTTTGGTGAGTCTTTTAAGTTATATAGGAACGGGGTCCTAAACATAAGGATTACCAATTAAAGAGGGTGAGTGCATGTGCTTCTATTTTTTTCTAAGCATAAATAAACTACAAAAAAAGTCTAGGATTAGATTCCCATTATCTGGCCATCACTTTTCACCCTGTCATGCCTGTGCACAAACCCTATGGGACTGTTTATACTCAATACAATTTCAAAATTTGTCGCTGCCAATTTTGACTTTTTAGGACATATTATCACTTTCTGATGGATGATAGGTCATTTAAGGGAAAAATAAGGGTAATCCTTATCTTTAGGACACCTCTATTTTTACGAGTTCTGTTCAAAACTGACTTTTGCAGGTGACTGGCCAGTACCGAAGTGACTTTTGCAGGCTAAAGCAGTCTTTTTTCCTCAGATAAACTCATGTTAGTTGTCATTTTGAAAGCACTTTCAAAGAAAATGTGACTTTTCTGCCTTTTTTTGCAGTTTGCCATCTTGCTTTTTAAATATATTTTCTGTTTGTCATCGTTGTTTTTAACCCCTCATAAATCAAAGCCCTGCCCTCTTTTTACAAAATTAAACCTGCTGATATTCAAGAAGGTGTCATTGCCAACTGTTCAAATGTGTCAAGAAACATCAGAATGACACTTTTGAGTGTCATTTAGCACGTCAGCTGTTTTGGTGAGTCTTTTAACCTTATAGGAACGGGGTCCTAAAAGTAAGGATTACCAAAATAAGTGATGGCCAGAATCAGGGTGACCGTAAGGTCATGACTAAATTCTGCTAAATGCACTTCGAAAATCTGTCAGATTGATCGAAAATCTGCCAAATTCCCCAGAATTACTCGAAATACACTATAAACACTTTAAATCACATGCGGATGTTGTAATACACTGCCTTGATTAATGTTCAAATTACATTATAAACAATCTATTGCCTATAAAGATAATATGAAATTGCGAAAATTTCAGGCAAAACGCGGTTGCGTCACAACGAAATCCGGTTTCCATGTGAACCTCAGCAGTCAGCACCTAGACCAGGCAACCTGTCTTATTTTGCAAGGATTTGTTTGAAAAGATTGAAGCTTTTGAATCTTTCCAAAGTGTAAATGTAATTGTGAAAATAAAAACTTGACAAAGTTCTAGCTACATTTTCGGGTAGGCCTATGACCTTTATTTACGGAGGTAGTCCAGTAAATTGGCCACATTTATGGGGCTAGCTAGGCCTAGGGAGCATTAAAAAATGCGCGCAAATGATATCTCATTTTTTTTCACTGAAATGACTCAAGGAAGTCTACCCCAAGGCCAAGCGAAACGATCCGTCTCGATGCGTCAACAAAAAACTAAATAACTCAAGGTTTTTCAGCTGCTTTTTGGTCGAATGCTTGATGAAAATTAGTCCAGTAATTTCTATACATATTATACTCACTTTTGGTGGTATGTGATGTGCTCACAATAAAGGATTTTCGGGGAAATGAGAGAAAAGATAGGTCAACAAAAATATCCTCTGGACAAAGAATGGCGGATAACGGCTCTTCTGGTGTCAAAGGTCAATGTAAATTGTTCGATTTTGAACAACAGAGGGCGGTATGCGGCTTCGGCCGCGCCGAATGCGATAATCTTTCTAGGCGTGCAACCCTGCAAAAAATAAATCCCATAGACACTAGTGCTAAACGCGCATACTTCAAAATTCTTTTAAAAATACTCAGAACTCTCACAGGTATTCAAGCTGCACAGAAAAATGATGATCAATGTGTCATCTTTCATTTTCTTTTCATTTTTTGGTGGGTTGACCATTGGCTTTTCGAGATATTCTCACCCACAGAAGACGACCCCTATTTTCCCCAAAGCGGAAAAGTAGCCCTCTTGAAAAACGATCCCTCCACAACATGGCAAAATAGCGCCACTTTCGAGCCCAATAGCATCCACAATGCTCAGAATTGGAAGCCCCAAGTCCGGGCCAGAGGTTCATTACCATATCTCTCCAATTCTCCAATGTTATGGTACTCAAAACACTCTAATATAGAAAATTTGGGGTATAACTTTTATTCATGAGCTCGGCGGGCGGACGGATTTATGGCCTACTTACAGGCGTGCACCCCTAGAGCTACCTACATGTAGCTTGCTCTTCAATGTACATAACTGAAAACGCTTTTTAATATTTATGTAATCTGATAATCAAAGACATATCTACGGGGTAGTTCAAAACCAAGGGCGATAAAAATGCATACTTCTTTTGTCATTGCTAATTTCTTTTGGGGATGTCATTGTGGAGTCGGGGTTGGAGAGGGTCATTTCTTTATACTGATGTGGGGGCGCGGGCTGGGTCGGACGGAACCTCCTGATATGACACGGCAACTTTTGCTTGTTACTTCATACCGATTCAATTATCAAGAACATGTATATGATTAATTGCTTGATCTATTGATTGATTGATTGAGTGAGTGAGTGATCGGTTGGTTGATTGATTGACTGATTGATTACTTTATCGGGGAGGCGGGGAAGGGAAGTGATAACAAAATCATAAATGATCGATTTGTGCAGCAAATGTTGACACAACTTGCTACAAGTTGAGATAGGTACATGCACACCAACAATAACTGCCACAGAACTTCAAAATAATTTGTTGTAAACATCCACTTGAAATTGTCTTTAATACAGTGTACAGGGGATTTACAAGTAGCCTAATCCTGGTATTGGATCATTAATTGGATATTACATGACATTTTGAAGGAAAACAACTAAATGTTTTCTAAAAAATACATCAAGCAAAATTTAAAAAAAAGGAAATTTATGAAAACTATGCACAATTGCCCATAGAGGGAGTGTTCATTTCTCATGTAGATACAAGTATGCAAAGATTTTCATTCAATTTCTCATTTTGTTTTAACATAAAGCACCTCTTTATGTAAAATACATTTTTTTTAAATAACTGAAGTGGTTGTAAGTTGTAACATACACAAATTGTATACAATTTGAGAATAAAATAGGTCAGGGTTTTACATGTTCATGTGAAAAGCCACGTAATTGTACAATCTGAAAATAGCTTAAAAAAAAAGCTATTTCAAAGAAAAAATTGTTTTTCTCAACACTTTTAGGTCTCCAGTTAACACCATATTTCATGAGTGAATGAAAGATAAAATGTTATGAAAAGGCATACATGTATATTTTACATATCGGTCAGAGTGCGTTCGGATGTTTCTAATTCTCAACAAAACTTTAATACACAAATTCTCAGGCACGTATTTATAAACACACTTGTAAACTTGGGGGTTCAAAAATTATACCTAGTACAGTAACATACAGCTACACAAGTGGAAAAAAATCTGTTAGTTGAACATTTGTACATTTTTACGACTCATTCTAGTTTGCCTATGCTTGCACAATGAGATGCAGAGCCAAAATGTTGGTTAAAAAAAATTAGGAACACAATAAAAAACGATTATTTGCCCAATTATTAGAGAACAAGTTAAACATGTCAGCTATCATTAATAGTGTTTTTTTTTACTGGGGTATTGTTTTATTTGTTTTTGGCATCTTGTTAATAAAATTAAGATGACAAAATTGAATTTCAATTATATCTACCACCCTCGGAATGCCTAACTTGACAATACAGTTATCTCTTAGACATGCAATAATGTGGATGCACAAATGAGGAACTATCATGACATCATCACAGCTTTCCAGAGAAAACATTAAAAAGACGACAAAAGGAAAAAAAGGCCAACAACCAATAAAATCTAACTACACATACGAGAAGTAACCGGCATTAGGATACAACCAAACTCTGAAGGTGGTAGGGAAGAATGAAAAACAAAACAAAAATAACGTTTAAAACCAAACCTTAAATTTAACTTTAATTATCAGCACCCATTCTTGTTTTTGTTTTTTACCTATGTTACAAAGCATATCAACTGTGAAGTATTCACATTGATTTTTCTGACCTACTGGTTGTAACTGGACAGTAATGTAATAACTTGCAGCCAAAGAATTTCAAACCTATTTAATTTTTTTTAAGTGTATTGGTTTTTCTGTTTCACATTAAATATTGGCAAAATAATTGTTCATTTTTGTGTAGTTATGTACAGAATTGATGAAGCAATGATAAACGTTAACTAAGCCAACAAACTTGTTTGCATTCAATTATAGCAGAATATTTGCTACTCTAAGGTTTAAACTATTCCAAACAAGGATGAGTTACGAAGACAGCACAAGGCGAAATATTTCCTCATCTTTCAGATTCGGAATAAACAAGAAAGCTTTTTTTTTGTATAGCATAATTTTTTGGTGATATACACCTAAAGGCCATGTCCATAATGGTTGCCTAGAGCTAAAATGTATGGTTGCGTATATATAGACACGGAGCACAAGTACATGTACCCCTGAATGGTTACAAAGAGCGACTTTTGAGGGACCACTAGGAGAAACTCTTGAACACACATTCTTGACGTACGCCTGGCGTTCAAGTGAAAGGAAAAATAAAATAAGCCATGCGAAGTATGCAAACAGTGTGTCTCTCCCAATGTGGTTCTTGAAAGTGGTCTCAAACTGCCTTAGATTGTTCATGCATAGATCAGTCAATTGTCATCATGTGCCAACATATGGTAGCTGCAACCAGCCAAGGCGCGGAAATAGCTCTAGACAAGAGATCGGACATGGCCTTACACTGGCAAACCCTGTTTCAGCAGATACAAGGGAAAGAACTGCATAAAATGGAGGGGAGGCCAAAACCGTTACAAGGCTATGAATACCCAGACTACCAGTCCTTTTTATGCTCATCCATGCTGACCCCTCCCGGTCCCAACGCCACAACCAGAAGCAAACCCCCGATGACCGAGAAGGTCTGGAAGAAGTCGTACTTGAGGAAGTCGCGCATGGGGCGGTAGCTGGGGATGTGCCACCAGGCGTTGTAGTAGAAGTTGATCACCGTCAGCCACAGCACGAGTACCAGCGCACACAGCTTGGTCTTGAAGCCAACAGCCACCAGGATGATGAGAGCGGAACCGATGAGGTTCTGCGCCATCTGGACGAAGGACATCTCGAAGCGGAGCAGGGTCATGAACATGAGGACTAGGAGTATCCTGCCGCTGAGCTGCATGTAGGTCTTGGGCTTGTTCTGACCCATGGTGGGGACGCCGGCAAACAGGCTCTTGCCTTCGGTGCGGGACTCAGCCAGGAGGAGGATGATACCACCTGACAAAGCCAGGTTTCTGATTAACAAAAAAGGAAACAAAGGAAATCACAGTAAAGAGCAAGTTTAAGCTAAAGCTATTGCTAGCCATAGTTCCACCATCTTTGCTCAAACCTATATGTATGTTAGTCAACCATACATACATGCAGCTTGACTAGTCTTGTTGGCTATTCAGGATCAGCCTGCAGAGGTCAGTTGCACAGCTTGATACAATCAAGACAATGGCCACACAGTTCACAATGCACAGCAGGGTGTCAGGATCAAACATTTTTGTGATGAGGTTTTACAAACATTTGACTGGAGTCGTTTTCGAATTGGTTTAGTGCGCAGGCATAAAGCCAAGTCACAAATCACCTACTAGTCAATCAATGGTCCTTGATTGAAGCTCTGTCATGTTAACTCTAAGCTCAGGGTATTTTTATAGCTAGAAATCCTGAATGCAGTGGAGTGCCGTGGCCTCGTGGTCTGGGGCATTGAATTTGTGGTCTGCGGGTAATTCTGCAGGTTGTGGGTTTGAGTCCAGCCTGGGGTTGTGGTGCGTGTGCTCTTGGGCAAGGCACTTTGTCACTCATTGCTTCTCCCCACCCATGAGAAAATGGGTACCTGTGAGGGTAGAGATGGTTATTGTGATTGAATTAGCTTCCTTGCGCCTGACCAGCATCAAGCTGTATACCCCCAAGGGAGCTGAGATGGTATTGGAATGTTTAATTGGCCCAAGGATCAGGGGTAATAATAATGTAAAGCTCTTTGATCTTAGTTAAAAGTGCTATAGATATAAAAAACCTGTTATTATTTATTTTTTCCCCCCGAATATTCCAACCGGCAAAAAAGCTATTCGAATATTTGATTGATAATTGAGTATTCAAATATTCGGTATATTCGTGACAGCCCTACGAGATTGAACCCGGGTCAGAGAGGTGGAAGGTGAGGAAAATACCACTCTGCCAACCTGATTCAACTTTGATGGAAGCATGGCTGTTTTTGTTGCATGGGCAGTCCATGTTAATATATCCTATCAAGGTGACCTGCAATGCACTCTAAGAAATGCCAAACCATCCTGTGATAAGCAAATGAGGGCCCCATGTTATCATCTGACACACATTCCACTTTGCTCCACTCTGCAGTCACTTCAGGTCTCCCCTGATAAGCTTTTACAATCACTCCCTGGGGAGGGTATTTGCATGACTGTGATGACTGGAAGACAGTGCACTCTGAATGTGAGGGTGAATGCCTTTGTATTGTGCTTGAAGGACCCTGGATATTAGGTACATTTTTTTATCACTGTTTTGCATGTAACGTGAAATAATCAAGTTAACCACCAGGGAAACTAACTAGATTATAATAATTTAAAAAGTGAAAGCAAAGACATTGACTGGCGCGGGTTTGAGCCTGTAACCTCCGGAATACCGTGTCGGTGCTCTACCGACTGGACTAAAGCAGGGAACTGTCCAGCTCTTTGCTGGGTCTCTATTTTTTGTCTTTGTTCAAGGCCGCTACCATTGGACGGGAATGGGGAACCGCCAGCATAGGGCTGGATAGCCCAGTTGGTAAAGTACCAGTACGGTATCCCGGAGGTTGCAGGTTCCAACCCCACTCCAGTCAATGTCTTTGTTCAACTTTTACATAATATGCAATTGTAATATGAATCTGTAAGATGAAAAAAAAGTTCATGTGAATGTCTGCCGAGGGTAAAACAATGATGACACTAAAAACATTTGGACTGGAGATCACCTTCTTGGACAAAAAGGTCAAAGGTACAATTGAGTGCCAGGTTTCAGGCTATAACCTGAATTTAGGCTTGTCCATGTTTTGGAAAAGCAATTTCAAGTTTTCCATCCCTTCACAGGCCCAAAAAAATAAATCCTTGTGTGCACGCAGAGAGAGAGAAACTTGTGCAAGCAATGCTCCATGGCAATCATCGAGCTAGCTCCATATCCGAATGTATGAATTGTAAGTTCAAATTAGACGTGTGGTATATTGCAATGTGTTTAATAGTGTATTGCAAACATTTCGTGCATTTGGCCGTCTTTTTCACTTGTGAAATTGTTCAGGCCCTGGAGCAACAAATCCTTGGCATCCCTGGTTACAGTACATACCTCATCAGGAACTTCAGGTCCCATAAAATACTGTAAGCAACGGTCTGCAAAGAAAAGTGAAGTGAACAAAAATAACAGTAAAATGGGTGAGTTATTGCAGTCATTGGTCTAGCATTGCTGCCACTTATTGCAACTGTAATGAATCAAATTCTTAGTGATGCTGGATCTGGGAAAACAAGTGACTGTTCGATGCCACAGGATGACACTATGACCATCCAATCTCTAGTTTTACATTCAATTGTGGCATTACATAAACAGGGATCGACCTTAACTTTTTTTCCGCTGGCTAGTCGGGCTACTGTAACAGACTCTTAACTAGCCCGCGGGCATTTTCACTAGCCTGCATGTTTTTCTTTTATAGAGTGTCTCATAAACAACAACATGCATACATGTAAAATGGGTATCCCAAGACATTTTTCCGTGTTTTATTTATAATTTAACCCTTAACAGTTAATAAAATTAGACACAAATTGATACAGGTTTCCTTTCTGAATTTAATGATTTATTTCTTCCTGTCCTTTCATCTTTGCTATAGCCCAACAATTTTTGACTCGCCAACCGGGCTACTTAAGGAATAGTTTGACTAGCCCGCCGCTGTTTTGACTAGCATTTGGCTAGCGAGCTACCGCTAAAGTCGAACCCTGCGTAAAATGAAAAAGGAGAGTAAAGGAAAGTAAGTATATGTTTTGTTTCGATACGAACAGAGTGTATTTTGGATGTATAGGTTGAAGCAGTGCAGATCCTGCGAAAAGGTCGAGATTTTACTGATGTCTGTATGTAATTTACATACACATATATCCACAAACTTGAAATTGAACTACTCTATATTTGAGAGCTGAGGACGAAAAACAGTTGACAAGGTATACGGTTCACGCTGCCATCAACTATGGGGACCGGTAGCTATCTCGCGTTTAGGCATTTTGGTTGGATAACATTTGCGCATGCATGCGTAACAGCGAAGATCTACTTTTAGAGACGACACGTTCTCAAGCAAATATAAAATGCCAGTTGAGCACATGTATGTGAGCCCTTAGCATGGACTAATAATGGATTTAAGACCAAATGACGTCACGCTTTGTTTAAATGTGTGCTTTCCTAAGAGAGAGCGTACGTCCCACCTAGGTGGGACGCGCTCTCAAAAGGAAAGCGCACATGCAAACTAAGTGTGACGTCAATTAGGTCTTGGGTCTATTGTGAGCACAAGCTACTGTAGTCACATTTATACTGAAGATGTTTTGTGTTATGTGTGCCTGCTAGTGCAACCACTGTAAAACGATGGCATGATTGCCTCTGCATACACCCAAGCCATAAGAATCTCTGAAGAAAATACCACAATCCATGGAGTCACCTGGATCAAATAGTCCAAACCCTGATCCTAGGCAAGAGACCGAGAGAGTACCCAAGGATCATTGCATTGTGAGAATATCGATGCTAATTGCTAATTGGCATGCACGGGGATTTGCATGTTAATTCAACATGGCAGCACCAAGTCCGTGTGTTCAAAATCAGAATCGATGCGAAGGGACTAGGAACTAGTCTATTGACAAGGTGACCTTTGACCCACCTGCAAAGCAATGATGGCAAACAGGAGACCGCATGCAACTGGTACTTTGAGCCTGCTTAGCACCATCACACAGCCAGTCAGCTGCCCAACCAGGTTGATCAACACAAATAAGGTACTGCGGAAAATAATACCAATAATCGATATCAGAATAATGCCCAACCAGACTGTTCAATACAAAAAAAAGACACTGTAAATAAACCAGCAATCATTAATTTAAAAAGGACTTCTTTTTACATGTACTTCTATTTGTATGTATACATGTAGAAAGTTTGATACATTCATTACGTTGTCTTTATCTCTTCTTGGGTTATTGTGCACAGCATTTGCAAAGTACTGTGGGACAGCAAAAGGAGCAATATCTGTTTTTATATAATGCCTAAATAAATCCCCGTCATTTGATATATGCGTCGTGTATCACGTCATTGTATTAAATCGTCCCAACGCACGGCGCGGGTGCATGGAAAATAAGTTCAATTGCATGGTCACACTTTTGGAGGATCTGACCAACAAGGGCGGATCCAGAAAAAAATTTTGGTCCCCCCAAAAAGTGGGATAAATTTTTGTGGATTCTAGATGCTCTGTGGTGCAATCTGAGGGCATTTCTGACCACTTTAACCAATGTTTTTTTGAGGAAAAGATGGTGGTGTACTCATTGCCTGCCTTTATTGCGATGTCACATTAAAAAAAAAAAAAATTGGTTTCTTTTGGGGGGGGGGGGGCCATGGCCCACTTTGGCCCCCCCCCCCCCCCCCCCCCCCCCCCCCCGAATCCGCCCTTGCTGACCAATCAGATGACAAGGATTTATTCAGGTGTTGTATAAAATGGAAAATGAATGCTTCATAAAATTCTCCATTTGTGCAATGGAAAGAATGATTTCATTCGGTGACAGATGGAATATAAGCATGTATAGCATTCCATCTGTCATCTCATGAAATTATTGCACTCATAAACATTCATTAATTGTATTCTATTTCCTTCCAACAATATTTGTTGAGCTTTTATGCAAAATCATCCAAGTGGCATTCATGATAGCCCTAGAGAGTTATGTACTTTTAATACCCAAGTACAAAATTCAGTCTTTCAGACCTCAAATAAAAGCACAACTTTTTTATTCTGCATCTGGATAGGGTAGGTAGGTAGGGAAATTGTGTGTGTGTGTACAATCATATAGAGACGTCTGCGTGTAGTCAAGGGTAAAAGGTAGAAATTGATGGTTTTGGGTGTTTTTTTCTCATTCTTCCCATACAATTTTTTTTTGGCTGTCAGAATAGGGTAGGTAGGGAAACCGGAAGCAGAAATATATTTTTTTTATGGCCCCACCAGGCATACGGTGGCAATGCGTTCGAAGAGATCCCGCCCGTGGTCCCTCCCAACTATCTCTTTGTAACCACTGAATGGACACTTGTACAAGGTGCCCGTAATTTTTTTTTGGAGATATGGGCAATTCCACGGTTACTCACGTTACATTTTTGATGTACTTTTGAGTTTCCTTGGGCTGTAAATTACCTTACTGAAAAGGTTTAATATTAAACTGTTATCCCCATGGTAGATAGAGTAGACCTAGACCTACCTAAGCACCAAAGATAACATCCAGAAAAATGTGTTATATATGATAAAACAAGATGCACCTAATTGGTTACTCACGTTACAAAAATGTAATGTGAGTAACCAGGGAATTGCCCATATGCTACCTGATAATTGTGCCACAGCCCCATGTCTGGGCTATGTAATCTCGCTGTTCACCCCACTGGAACCACATACGAATGCCATCCTCCAGGAAAGTGCTGATGAGACATAGTCTGGCTACATGGGGCAAGACGTGCTTGCTGCGTCTTAGTACCTGCGACAACAAAACAGCCATCAGAAAATGATTTACTAATAAATCATTGTAAGATGAACCCAGTGACCCCTAGAATGGCCGTGTTGGGGGTGTGTTATGTCCATCACATAGAGCTATATTAAATTACTAGAGCGCTAACTTCGTGTACAAAGTAATGCCTGCTGGGCGCATCCATGTTTTTGCACAAACCTATGGAGACCTAGAAATTTTGTACGGCTTTTGTACAGCTATTTGCATATTTGCGTTTGTATTCCATACCGGTGCGTTATCGAAGCCAATGCGCCCAAAACCGAAATACATGATCAGCAAATGAGCGTGTCATTTTGCTCTACGCAAACAGCGCAACACGTGCGCGTATTCGATTTTTTTGAACCGTCATGACGCGCTTAAGTTATTTGCGTGTGTTCTATTTGCGCGTTGCATGTAGAGTACACTTTCAAAATTCAATCCATCTAATTTCATTATGTTCTGCAAACACGCACAGAAATTCAAAATGTCTGCGCCCAGGACGGCTTCAAAGCATCTCCGCGCACAGAATGGCGAGTTAGCGCTCTAGTAATTTAATATAGCTCTATGGTCCATTACCACTGTGATGTGGGAGGGGGGGGGGGGGTAATCTATGAAATCTCCCCTCGCACAGCAAGGGTCTATGATATGCAAGCTGATTGGGCGATTAAATATAAACGCCAAACGAGACGGGCGCCTCGACCTCGAGATTCTGAGTTGGCACCTTCTATCGGGTCTTCGGTAAGACGACAACCAGTATCACAAAAGCATGGCAGCCAAAGTGACCAATCAACAGCTTCATCCACATTTCTGATGAAAATGAGGTCACAATGTCTAAAGTCGAGTCAGTCGACTCCAATTGGCTGGTGTGCGGGGCCGCACAAAATTTGCATTGCTCACATTATATCATGTCACACTTAGGTTATTCAATTCTGGTAAACACCGCACGCATGAGAGCGTACTTCAGACCTAAGAAAGAATGATTTTTGCACGACAGGCAACAGCCGTCGATCACTTTGGCAAAGTTGACACATATACTCAGTGGAAAGTGCAAGTATCATGACCCTTGACCTCAAGCAGATTACAGGAGCATGGACGATGTCGTATTTGATTGTGGCTGAAAGCCGTCCGAATTCTGCCCGGAATTATAGGTTAAATGGCCGAATAACTAAAAACCCAACCATTTGCCAACAAAAAGATCAGATTTCGCCGTCAAAACGACCACAGAATTACTATAAAATACGCCATGTGAGATACAAGTAGATAAGAGATCGATGATTTAGATTGAGGTACCACAGTTTACTGACGATCGGGATGAAAAGTGAAATTCACCATTTATCGGCGAGGGCTCTGCCATGAATACCGCGCGTGGACGCCATTCTCAAAATGGCGTTGGGTTTCCTAAGTTTGGTGGAGTTTTTTTTCATTATTCATTACTTCTCATCATGGAAAAATGCACCCCTTTACTCAAGTACACACTACCTGCCATCGCAGTCTATCCAATTGGCGCCCTCTTTTATTCAACGCTGTCCATTCGCGTTTCTGCAATAGTGTGGTGCCGTCCTCACCGTGCAGCTCACGTTAGTAATGCACTGTCAAGATTCTAGGCTTGCGACCGTCGTTAAAAGTGTACATTTTGCGAAACACTTGGACCCCGTAACTCGAATGGAACCTTTTCGCTTGGGAGTAATTTGCATCGGGTTTCACCGTTTTTGCAAAATAATGAAATTTGGGAATAATGAAATGACATGCGGGCACTGACGAGAAACTAGTAATCTACTTTCATTGACCCGCCTTAGTACATGTTGTAGTACTATTAACCCTAACTCCCTAGCGTCTTTTAATAGGAACTGGACCAAGTCCATCAAAATCCACCAATCACTGTGTGTCCAATACAAAACTGTACATGGCATAATGGAATACACCACTGATGCACGTACTGGTTGACATTCATCAACCACCCAAGTCCATCATACTCCATCAATATTTAGTCATGCCAGGTCTTCTGGACCAAGTCCCCCAAAAATCCACCAAAATGGGGGGGCCGGGGGGGGGGGATGGATTTTGATGGAGTTGGGGTGGTAAAGGTTAAAGACTTGAGTTTCAACTTAAAAAAATTAACTTGACAATGACATTCATTTAAACATGTCCAATATTTCAAGTGATTTTCATTTATTTTTACCAACTTTTCTACCATTTCAACTTACCCACTGCACTGCTCACGAATCCTGAACTGAAGTAAAAAGGCGTATGGTTAAAGGAAACATCAGGAAAGACAGAAAGTTTAGAAACAAAGCAAAGTTGTATTGATTTTTCCCAAACTTTTCATGTTATTAATTAGTACAGAAAGGTTGATGTCAAATTTCACTTTCAACTTAGTAACTTAGTACAGTACAGCTATACAGTGAACGCTTGAACCTTCTTTTTTTGTCCCAAAAATGACATCTTAGCTCTTAATTCTCATTACCTGATCAGCTATATCTTCTGCTTTCCCAATCAATTCATTTCTAGAGGCCATTTTCCTGTAATGACCACAGGAAAACCACTTTTTTGAGACCGCTGCGATTAACTCAGTCGGCTTTTTTTCGCCCAAATACCGGAAGGGCCATGCACAACATACAGTTTAGTTGTACACAGTGCATGCAGTGTGCGAAACACACATTGTACACGCGTTAATGCTTGTCGCTGGTTCTTGTACACCGGTCTTAATGTTTACAAGGAATTGGGCGGGAGCCAGTCATTTCTCAGCCCGCGCGATGCCACGTCTGCTTTGCGAGCGCCCTCCATTGGTGAAAGTTACAAAAGACTTTTGATTTTTTCGGCATTGTGAAAAAGTTTTAATAAAATAAGTATCAGAAAAGAAAAGAAAGCAATACGGATTATTTTTTTGGTGGCGCTCTTTATGTTGTTGGCATCCGTCAATCGCGGCCACGTCGAACGTAGGTGGTTCCTCATCAGTACATTTTCTTGCGGCCGATTAGCCCTATCCTGAGTAGTCAAGTGGCTCAGATCCAATTTTTGACAAGATCCGATGACAGTCCCAAAGCACCAAGCTTGGCAGATAGATTCTTATAGCCCTAGAGAAGACATTTAGAAGGGGTGACACCTGAAATTATTTTGGGAGGGGTGCCTAATTTGCATAAATCGTATATATAGTTGCCGAGTAATATTTATTTCAATATTTTGCATATTTTTAAAATTATATTTACTGTGAGCAAGAATGGGTGGGTAGGCATAATTACATTCACTGTGTGGACTTCCGAACAAAAGAGGTCCACATAAACCAGGTAGAGGCGACGTTGTGTGGACGTGGGCAAGTCCACACAGTGTTTCTCCCTTTCTGGGAAACAGGTATTTTTGGGTTAGGTTTATCTGTGGCAAAATCTTTGGCAAAATGAAAAGAAACACGGTGTTTTCACAGACAGTAAAATGATTTTGTTTCAGAGGTTTTTCTTAAAAACCAAGGGAATGTCCACACTTGGTATGTAACGTTATTATGTACGTGTTCATCTTTTCAAACTGTGGACGAAACATACCAGAGAACAAAAGAGAACAATATCGTCCACGATTCCCAGCATACGTCCGCGATTGGGGTCGTGTAGAAAACCTATGCGAGTCTTCCTAAAAAGTTGGAGTGAGGGACAATAGCTAGGATGTCAACGATCGACGATGAACACACGTTTGCGTACGTTGATCTCGTCATCCAGGGACGGAGGTCAACATGCAGTCAGCAAAAGTTAGCCAAATTCGCTCGTCCTCAGCGTACAATCAATGGGTGGCCAGTCACAAAATCTTCGATGGAAACGCAGGTTTACTAATCATTTCGGTCACGTGTATCAGTATATACGTATATAGTGTAAGTGCTGACCGGAGTTACGGTTAAACAAATTTCCTCCGATGAGAATTCAAGAATTAAGGTGACTTGATAAAAATACAGTGTAAGTGCAAACAAAAGTAGAGGACTAATAGGGCCTCTGATTTGAATGTTTTGACCATTGGAGATATTATCACTTTTGGGTTATTGGGGGCGCTGTTTTCATTTCACGAACTCTCAAGTCCGCGTACGGTACGGTCTTCCATTTCAAAGATGGGGGACGTATAATCTTGAGCACCCCCCAAGAGGTTGTCACTTTTTATTATTATTTTTTTTTGGGGGGGGGATTTTTTTTCTAGTCCCACGATTTTGCCTTGGTGATATGTATGTGGCCTATTTTCGAGGGGTGTAAGTGGCGCCACCAACGTTAACATAGTTCGCCCCCCGAAAAAAAATCAGGTGTCACCCCTTCTAAATATCTTCTGTAAGGCTGAAACAATCTATCTGCCAAGTTTGGTGCTTTGGACCAGTCGGTCACGATCTTGTCAAAAATTGGGTCTAAGCCACTGCCAAGTACGCCTTCTCTGTCTGCCTTGAACAATTGGGTTTTTTTCCCTCTCACTTTTGTATGAGGTTCGTGCCATTCCAGTCCTTATGAACCAATCTGTCAATCGTTCATTCGTACCCGTGAAACCCACGTATTCTCCTCCCATTCCCAGCTTAGTGGAGGTCAAAACGGAGACCTGTGAGTTTTTTTCTGATCTGTGTTGAGATCATAATTATAGTCGGTGCATCTTTTGTCCATTGTGCACCGTTATTGCAACAGCACGCGATATCTCGACCAGGTCACTTCGCCAGTGGCGCACCCAGGATTTGGCTTTTTGTTCAAATTTTGTATTTTGTTCCAACAAATTTGCCCAAAATTTTTGGCCGCAGAAAAATAATGTTTTTGTTTGTTTGTTTGTTTGTTTGTTCTTTTTTTGTTGGGGGGGGGGGGGGGACTATTTTGACGTTGTTGGCGCCACTTACACGCCTTTTATACTACTAACAAATAGGCCACAAACATAATCACCGAGGTCAAATCTTTGGACTAAAAAAATATTAAAAATAACCCAAAAAACAACAATGACAACACGGGAATTGTCAGGTCAGGGAAGCAGACTACTTTCTGGTGACATCGGATTCAGTGAAATCCCACCTCCTCCACAGGGTGTCGAGCAGTACGCGCCCACCACTACCTGCTGTCTCACCCTGGTATTGGATCATTTGCATGTGCAAGATTTTTGAACACGTATGCAAATGAGGAATTGTCTGGTGTCTGCATGTACGTTATATTAGGCCCAAAAAAAGTCTCCGGTTTCTGGTATGGAGCTTGCCCAAAAAGTGGTGCGGCGACGCGGCTTTTTTTTTTTTACCTGTTTTTTTTTGCTTCAAATGTCGGCTGATGACTACAAATGGTGCCCGACTAAACTTAGTGCAAATATATGGGAGTCAAGAGAGGCCACATAAAGCTTATTCTCGATCATAACCCCATCTAAAAATACGTTAAAACTGTGCAGCAGCAGGATTCCAGTCAAACCAGTGAGTTTGGCGGTTTTGAGACTTTTTTCATTTTGCCGACGCGCATGTCTACGGCGACGCGCGCGCGTACCAAAAACCGGAGACTTTTTTTGTTTGGCCTTAGCGTTTGTTTTTGTATGCGGTACGTGTCTGGGGTAAAAACAGCATCAATTCGTCGGGCCGTGAGTTATTAAAACACGATTTTTTTTCAAGTTAAAATGTTACAATCTGGCCCACCAATATGCAGTATCACATTTCATATTAATATGAGCAAACTGGAAAGAAAAGGAGTATTACTGAGAAGGCGTGGACGTTATAAACACAATGATCGTGAAAACACGTATGCACGTTGAAAATAACAACACCAACTATAAATCCATTATTAGCAAATTGCGGTATCGAATCAGGATACAGGACGAATTTTTCCTATCCAGGGCTTACTATTGGAAGTGAGGTTGGAAATAAAGTAAGCACTGGGGACGGGGTTGGGTGAAATCGGATGCGAAAAAAACCAATGCATTCGATTTCATCCAGTCGCCCGGTGTACATGTACGGTTAGTCTATGTAATAAACCCTGGCCCTAGCGAGGCCGACCATGGTCTATTACACGTGAACGGATTCGGCGATTAATTATGCAACTAGACTGCACACGACCTCGAGAAACTGACCAATCAGCAGGCGCCTTCTATACGCGCGTAATTCGAGCTCCCTGCGTGCGTAAACATTACGCCCACGATGAGTAACATTTCTATACAGGTTGTTGTATTACAAAAACGCAGCATCGACATTGACCAATCACAATCATAGTCCTGATTTCGGAATGAAATGACTTCACGCATGCTTAGATATATCAGACGTTAGACAGGAGACTGGGCTCCGTGGATAACGGGTGATACTCAGAATATAGTGTACGGTCAGATTGGTTTGAGATTTCAGCACACATGTGTATTAGTTGAGTATGTATGGGGGACACCCGTGCACCCCCAGAACTAACTTCCACCATATTAGGCACCAAATTGTCCGCCACTCTTGAATTTGAAGCATGAAAGCCAGAAAAAGATATTGAAGTGAGTTTGTGAGGGTCTAAAACATTTAACTAACCATTTTATTTTTGCTTTTATCACATAATTAATTTTTGGCTGATTTATGCCTTTTTTCTCTCCAGTTTTTACCATTTTTGGCGGCCACATTAGCCGCCTCTTTGATATCTCCTTCGCATCGGATTTTGTTTTACTGTTAACATCCAAAATGTATTTTAGGATCCTACAAGTCACCCCAAAATTGGTGAAAGTTAGTTCTTGGGGGGGGGGGGGGGGTTGCACGGGGTCCCCCATACATGGCCCGATAATCCGGTCAACCGGTAACATCGAAAAGGTGTGCGCCGGGCTTTATTCTCGATCTCCCTCTGTGCGCAGCGAGAAGAGGACTGAATAATATAATCTATAATATAATCTTTGTGTTCCTACGGAGGTATTTCAATTGAAATTACTTTTTGTTCTGACCAGTTAGGTCTTTTCTTTTTCATGGCACCGCTTGTAAGGGATTACTGGAGCAAGTGTAATTGGATGTTTTACAATATTACGACGGCCGGACCAGTGAAATGGAAGGACAATTGTTCAATCGGTCATCTTAAACAACTACTTCAGTTGTATGAACGGACCTCGCACCACTGTTCATTTTCAAATGTATACAGGTCAACTTATCAAAATAATTACCGTCCTTGCATGCAACGAACTTAACAAGTATTGAAGGAAGCTGTTTTGGGTCAAGGATATACAAGGCAACGAAAAATAGACTGGTGTCGAAATTAGGCCAGTACCACGAAGGTTGCTAATAAATGCACCTGCAGTATTTTTGCGTGTTAATTGAAGGACCGAGTTTAGTTGAATACAAAGTTTAGTTGTATTTTGTCAATGAACTTCTATCGAACTCCATCGGCGCGACTGTAAGACTAGTAAGTAATCGGCATGGGCGTTGCCAGGATTTTTTCTAGAGGGGGGCAAAACATATTTTTCCCAAAAAATTCCTGTATTTTTCAACATATTTTCGATTTCTCAGTTGTAGAGGGGGGCAGGGACAGTTTGCCCCCCCCCCCCAACTCATTAAATTTACACCACTATGACTTCGCGCCTCTTTTTTTTTTTTCTCTCTCTCTCTTTTTGTGTGTGTTGCTTTTCCAGGGGGGGGGGGACACAAGCGCCCCCCTTGCCCCCCCCCCCCCCCCCCCCTCGCGACGCCCATGGTAATCGGCCGGGTTGGGACAAATCTATAGTCTGAGTATCACCCGTTATCCACGGAGCAAGTCTCCTGTAAGTCGGTAATTTTATCAGAAATAG